CTCCATCGTCTTTGTCCCACGGTACTCATTTAATACGAGGTTGGTTGAACCCTCCGGGTCTGAACCTGGTGGACCTGCTTCGGCCGGGGATTGAACTCTGGTCATCCATCCCGTGTCCAGTCATTGTACTGACAGAGTACCCCTGGGGCGTTGTGTGTTACTGCTCGCAAATTTGTGTTGTAAGGAAGGTGGGCAAATTGTTGTAGGCGACCACATTTTCCGATGTCCCTGCACATTATTTGTTTAATTTCCTGTGGATTGGTCTTCTGTCGCGGCCGTGTGATAATCCCAATTGTCCTGTCCTGGCACTCTCGTAGTGTACTTCAACTTTGTACATATTTTCCATTGATCTTTCTGCATTAAATGGCAAGATGACGCTATGGATATTGTTGCTAATATGTTATTAAATGAAGCCACAGACCCACATAAACAAGTTCAGAACTTCAAATCCCATAATAACTTCTGGTTTATTACATACAGTGCGAAGTTTTGCAGCGCCTTTCTACTGACTTTGCCTAATATGATTATTTTGTTCAGATCACGAAATAGTTCACACAATTCCCACGAGGAAACAAGAAAAGAAACCCAAGTAGACCTACATTTTGAATAAGAAACTGCAAGAGGAGAGATCACGTGGGCGAGACAGGCGTACGTTGAAATATATTTGGTTAAATAAAGTGTGAGGGTGAAAATTTGATTAAACTAACTCATCATAGGGCTATGACGTGTTGCGTGGTAATATGTCTTTGATAAATACGTACCTCTCTTCAAAGTCCTCGTTCTGTAGACCGAAAAATAACATGATCACCACGCGAAATAACAACATAGCCTTCCGCTTGGTGGCGATATACTTACATAATGAACAGCTGCTGTGAGTCATATGAAAAAAATACCGAGTAAACATACGCGCAAGTCTGGTGTACGGTATCTATGTATTGAAAATTTCGTGATGAGAATTCGAGTTTGTGTGACAAATCTAACGCCGTGGGAGTCTCTGTGGGTGAAAGTAACGCACAGAATGGATCGCTAGAAGTATATAACTATAGTTTATGCTTACGATATACCCTTTACAACAAACTCCGTGGCCTGTAGTCTTAAGCGAACTATACCGACCAAGCGACCGCCGCTTGTCGGCGAAATTACTCCCATCTTTAGCGGGTAGAGGGTGTCGCGTGGTCAGTTCAACGGATCCCCACGGTCGTTAATCTCGTTTTTCTAGACCGAAGCCTATATTTCCTTGAATAGCTCCTCAGTTATCCTCACAAGGCTGAGTGGACCCCGTTCGAGACCAACTACTCTTCAGAGAATCGAACCTGGGAACTCAGGATCTGTAGCCAGGAACTCTGACCACTAGACCACAGAGGCGGTCCGATATACCCTTTTCAGAATGTAATTGAAGCCGATATTGTATTGGCCTGAACAGTTAAGTATGTACTTAGGGCCTTCACAGAGAGATGAGAAATGGTACGAACTTTTAGTTACAAATCCTGAAGGAAACGGATTACCTAGGGGATATGGGCATAAATGGATGGATATTGTCACGTTTTTTAGTGACTCGGCACAGTTTTGGATTGGAAATTGGATTTATTGACCACTTTAACACATGACTCGTGTCTGCAATTGATTATAGCTCCATCGCAAGTTTCCACACTTTAAGAATCACTACAGCACATGCTGAGTCTTTTCAGTCTGCCATGTCTTCACTCGTTCCCTGGTAACGGCTTCTAACAGTGGGGATTGTTCAACTGCATGGCTAAGTCTTCTCTCCACAGACTCCCTTGCAACTGACTCTGTTACAGCTCTTTCACAACTGACTAGCTTCTAAACTTGTCTCGGCTCTAACATCTCGGCATTGCCTGCGTATAAAACGACGTTAATTGTTGTACTCATATTGTTTCCATGTGAACGTGATTGTTTGCAAAGGCGTTACCCAGTAACGGCTGCGTATACTCGCTTATTAAGAATCTTGCTTAGTCGCGAATGTTGTTTCGTTGTTTGTTTCGAGGTCATTACCCACTACACGCTACGTCACATTAAAATGGATCCTTAAGAAACGGGGGCTGGATTCATCGGTCTCAGGATAGGGCCCAGCAACAGGCTGTTGTTAATGTGATAATGAATCATCGGATTCTGTAACAGACGGATATTTTTTTGACTGTCTGAGATGCTGTGGCTCCTCAAGAAGGCTGTATTCCCTGGAAGCAGCAGAACCTCGGGCTAAATCTGCTGACCTCTCAAATAGGAAACAGGCGCATATAGAGAGAAGAACCCCATCGCATCCGATGTGTGATCTGGAACTCCACTGCATGAATGAACCATATCGATTTCGTATGTTTCCTCCAGTAACCATGCAGCTGTCAGCTGTTTGCCGGGCCAGTATGGCTGCCCGTGCAGAGCTACAGACGCATGCGCCGTCATTGGTCTTTGTTCCTGGTTTTCCCACTTGCAGTGAAACAAAAGCACACTGAAAGGTTTTATACCAGTACAATGCTGAAATTGTCTGTTGTTTCAGGTGTATTTGATACAAACGACGTTTCGGAAGTTGAATCTACTCCCGTTTTTATTATACTAGCCTAGGTTTACAAATGTTTGGGGTTGATATTTATACCAGGCTTAACGTTCCAAAGGTTATGGGTTTGATCGCAACCGTATCCACTAATTTGGAATTATTAACAGGTCTCTTGAGTATAACAACCATTCACCTGGGAATGACAATAAGCGCCAGCTCTCGAAACTTCATTTGTCTAAAACCCCAGACAGTTACGAGTGCCTCTATAATGAATTAACCATGTTACAAAAACCGCAACATTGCGTTGGGCGCCATATGGTTTTTCGGACAAGTATGAACCGTCACCGTTCTAATTTTCGGAGATAACCTTGGTCCAGATCAAATCGGCAGACTTTTTGACGGGTTTTACCAGCCGGAATGAAGTTTTGAACATAGCATATTAAGTCCTCGCCCTTAACCTCTGGCTCCTTACCACACCTTAGAGTCTGACTACCGTTTTGATCGTGTCAGACTTTAACCACAGACATCATCACTATGTGGTTCAGACCCTCAGATGAAACCACGTAATATACCATGTACGTATTTCTTTTCACGTCTGACAACTTTTGAACCAGTTGACAGATTTTCATTAAACATTGTGTGGTCATCATGGAGGTAGTCACTTCTCCATACATTTTTTTAATTCTCCACGATGGATTTCAATATGCTCACGGGAACTTGGTATTCGGGAGCAATGCAACTTTCATTTAATGCAGCATCTTGAGTGAGTAGCGGCTCCGGTCTAGAAAACCGAAATTAACGGCCGTGGGGATTCGTTGCGCTGACCACGCAACACTATCTATCCGCTAAAGTTGGCACTCACTTCTCCGACAAAGCCTCGCCGTAGCTCAAGCGGTTAGTCGCTGGCTTCCCACCGCGGCGGCCCGGGTTCGATCCCGGGTCTGGTCAAGTGGGATTTCTGGTGGAAAAAGTGGCGCTGGGGCGGGCTTTCTCCGAATACTTCGGTTTCTCCTGCCAATCTTCATTCTCCCAAATTCTCCATCGTAATCGCCCTGGCAGGTACAGTAGGCCAATCAGTGGCCACCGTGCCGTGTGGACCCAGCTGGACTCCACCCCCCACTAAGCGAATAAAAAAAAACTTCGCCGACAAGCGGCTGTCTCTGGGTCGGTATATTTCGCTTGTTGACTGAAACCACGGAGTTTTTTTTCCTGAGTTGTTATGGAACAAAGCCGATCATTAGAGGTTGGTATGGAGATAAGTCATGAACGTACTCGCAGGTTTTGTGTGATACCAGCTTATATCTGACAACTGTACATGTAGTTGGGCATTGTGCAGCGGAAATTGGGGATAGAAATGAAGTTATAAGGGTGACTTCACTTTTTCTTTTTACCTCTCCTAACAGAATGAAGTGGGCACATTGGCATCAGCACCTTCCTCGTCACACAGCTAACGGTGTGTGAAAAACCTCCATCCCTGTCGCATTATGCAGATTTTTCCATGAGATGTATTGATGTGAAAGACTCAAGCGAGTTGTTTATTTCAAGTGTCGGCTGTTCAGGAATAACGGGGTTACCAACAGTACACAACTGACTAGCGTATCTTGCCAACCTGCTGCAACGAACATTCAGTTTTTTTTTCCCCCGTTTTAGTTTATGTAACGACGCTTTGTCAGCTACGTTGGTTATATAGCGTCGGCTGAAAATATAATAGTTGTGAATAGGGAATTAGGGAAGATGTAGAAGCGGTTTCAAGCTATTTTAAAACATCCTGTTTTTCCATGATCCCTTATGCTTCAGTCCCTGATTTTATCCAGGTACTTCCCGAGTAGAAGTTGGTGCCATCCACTGCAAGAAATTCTTGGTCATTCTCTTCAAATGCATTATATAATATAATGTGTTATTTTTATTTATAAATGATGGATTAGCCAATGCTTGATATTGTGCATGAAAACTCCCCTGTAGTTATGTAGTATATTAAATCAGAGTCATATGAAAGTATATTGCAATTTGCGTTTATAAATTAATGAGCTGACGCTCTATATGCAAATTATATAAGAGTATCACAATAAAATGTCACACACTCCCTTAGGAGCCTGATAAATATATCCTGACAGTTACATGACAGTGTACTCATGTCACCAGCCTTCATTCATACAAACTTGTTCAGGTACTTAAATGTGAATTTGAAATATAGAAAATCATTCCAATGAAGTGCTAGGATTAAATCTCTCATACTCAGCATAGAATTACACCAGAATCCCAAATGTAGGAATTTGCCTGGCAGGGAAAGTGAAAAGGTCGAGTATGAATGTCTAGAATTGTATAACTTTCCTATTATGAACCTGGAGCCAGACATCTTAGAATTAAATGTTGTATCTTGTTCCTTGAATAAATTATTTTTGTTCTGTTTTTGTGAGTGATGGGAGGAATGTGATAATGCTGGAATCAGTTATAATCCACATATGTTATGCTGATGATTTTCTGTTTGCAGATGAAGTTGATGTGATTGGGTACACCAGCAACCAGTCTGACACAGATGACCACAGCAGTGTCCAATCAACCTCAAGTGACAGTGGAGTGGCCATGAGCACTAGCCGCCTCACCCTGTCTGAGATGGAGATTATCTAGGTGAGTCATCATAGATTGGGGGGAGTCTTGTTTGTGCTAAAACTTTGAATGCACCAGTTTACATGAGTTGTTCCTAGTTTCTATAGCGGTAGTTTCAAGCAATTTACTATGTGAAAGAAGAATTTTTGTCCCTCATGACTACTGCAAATTGATATCAGTCAGACCAGGGTGCTCATGAATAGTCTATAAAAATTCTTTGTCTCCTATTACTTTTTTTTTTATTTCTTGCAATTTACAATCCACTCTACAAGGGAGCAATAAGTAAACATGTTGTAAGAAGTCATTTGTGCGGAGTGATCATCCAGTGATGATTCTCCTATGTAGTATACTATGCATTATGTTGTTGAGTATGGCTACCCATCTTCAACCCTGTGTTCTTTTAAGTCTGAGGGCCATTGTCGTTTTAGTCTTCGTCTGATGTTTAATGGGTTGCTTAGTTCAGTTACGCAACTGTTTTTGTGTCCCATTAGTCGGTTGTGGTATATGATAGGAATATCTTTTGATTTCTTCTGTGATGAATGGTATTTGAAGAGCATTGTGTAATGTGAAGTTCGAGACATACCATGGGGTGTTGGTTATGGAGCGCAGTACATTTGATTGGAGTCTTTGAATTATTTTGGTGTTCGAAGGCTTAGCACACCCCCACAGTTGAACTCCGTACGTCCAAATCGGTTTCAGTATTCTTATTACTTGAAACAGAAATAGTTAAGAAGGAGTACTGCAGATCATAGAAGGTTTAGTGTGTTACAATTACTACAAGTTACTTAATATGTGAGACTGTAATAGTTTTTTAGGAACCATCGGCATAGCATTGTAACAGTTATATATGATTGTTGAAAGTGAATGGAGTAAATCTGTTGGCCTAATATCAGCATCGTTTTGTCATATATATATGATAGCCCATCTTGTTTGGTTAATAGGTTGAAAGGCATTGATGTTTGGAGCAGTTGAGGGACAAGACGCTGCCTGTCGGAGATCTGCCCGGCCCAAGCAGTGCCACCATCGTAATTACCAGAGCCAGTAACATTGCGGAGCCCATCTCTAGTCATCAGCAAGGAATCCTCTGTATTATATAAATAAGAGCTTGGGGAGTCTTAGCGCATCGCAATTCACTGCATGTGTAAATTATTTATGTAAATTGTACATATTTTTGTTTTAAAGAGAAAAGATTATAAAACATAGTATTTGCAGGTCATGACTCTGAACCATTGGCCAGGAATAATTATTTTTTTTATTTTGAGATTACAGTGGAGAGTGATTTTAAAATATGTTTTATGGATTGTTAGAGAGTCATGAAAAGATAATGTTTTTGGCGTGTTCGCAATGAAAAGTTGCAAGAATGTGCCTGTTAGCTTAGCCATGTCTGTATGTCCATCAATCCGTCAGCATGTAGCAACTATGGAACTGTGGAACAGATGATCAAAAAATTTCATACTGGGGAGTTTTACAAATATTTGCCAAACATTCCAATTTGGGTTAAAATCATACAGTAGTAACAGACACTTGCATGAAGACATACGTACAGTTCTACACACATCTCAAATATAACATACTAAATATTTATCAGAAGAAATGTGTTTCAAACAAAAGATGTTGAGGCATGTGAAACACATATTTTATCCCTAATACACTTTGTCCTCGAGTCTTACATCTTTAATGATAATTAAGCAAGAGGGGTTTTTATGCTATGTCACTTCAAAATCAATACCTGAAAATCTAGAAGTATCAATAACAACAGAGCGAACGCGCCAGAAGTATCACGCTATGCGTACATTTCCTAATTTGTTAGTTTTTTAAGCAATCTTATTAAATATTCCAACAGGCAGATCTCTGGACAGACGGTCTTCTCGTCTGTTCAAATACTTTTAAAAAGTGTATAAAAATAATAAAAAAAGACTATGTTGTGACCTTGGGTTACATTAGCTTTCAACTCTTCAAGAGCTGATTTGAGTTTCTTCTGCAGATAGTGCTTGGAGAAAGCACATCAAAAATCAATTCTCCATAACTCCTATGGAACAAAAAGCTATTAAAGAACAAAATATACCATAAAGAGTTCTGGTAGGTTGAATTGTAAAAAAGGAAAAATGAATAATTTTTCTAAAAAAATATTGTTAGAAAAAAAGGTGGCACTTGTAATAAGAGTTTGAGAAATTCTGTCAACTATTGTAGAAGAATGTGAACCGGTGAGTTGAGAGACATTTGCCGGCTGCGAGTGCAAAGTGAACGTGATGCAACATGTCTTATGCAGCATGTCTGCGGGCCCAGATCTCTCCAACCAAAACATGGTGTGTCCCTCCGTTCTCCTGCAGTGCAAGAAAACAACACGAGAAAGATTATTACTGAAGGAACATCGTAAGGCATTCAAAGAGTACAAATTCTGTATAAGTCCCCGATGATAATGGGAACTTTCTATGTTTAATTTTTTCCCGTGGACTTGAGTTTCAGCAGATAGCTGCCAGGTGTTTGAGCTCTTATTTTATTATAGTAATAAATTGTGAGACGAACCGTTATTGGGCACCTGATGAACGCCTGCCCACCAGGCGTGCTAAGTGCTGAAACACTGTGTTCCAGTGGTAGAACTGAGCCTCTTCAAGTGTAGCAGTGGTGAAATGGTGTGCATGTGTGAGTGAGTGCATGAAAATGTGTGAGAGAATCAGGCAAGAGAAAGTAATGTACATTAAGTTTGGATGTTGATGGAGCGGGACTTGCCTTTAGTCTCCAGCTTGGTGTCGACTGGCTACCTCTCTTTGAAATCTCTCCATCACATCATCTTACTACATGCCTTAAGGTTTAGATATTTCACAAAGTTGGGTCTCATTTTGTGAATAGGTCATTCAGCAAGCTGGAAACTAAGCTCGCAATTGAGATACTGTGTGCAATAGTGGGTCCTGCCATGCACTGTGAGATAGAGTAACATGAACCAGTAATGTATGTCATTAAACCCACTCATGTATTTGGTGAAAGGTTTTGTTGTAGCATAGATTCTATTCATGTACAATAGCGAGGAGTAGTGAATATTTGTAAGAATATTGCAGTACCCACTGCTGCATGTGCCCTTGATGCAGTCCTCACACACGAGGGTGACTGATGATAAGAGCCACGTGAACACTCAGAAGGCAGAAAGAGGCTGTAGATTGTCAGCTCTTCAATGTCTGCTTCTCTTAGCCGCAAAAAAATACAAAAACATACTAAAAACTTACCTAACTACCTTTCTGTGTCAAAAAAGAGCTTGGAAGATTCTTCACAAACTAAAAAAGAATAAAACAAAAAAATACATAGGAATATATGTTACTGGAAGCACTACCAATTTGGTCCGAAGGTATCTTTAAAATGTGATACAACTGGAAAACAAAATACAGTTTTTGTGTAGGTTAATTTTTTTCAAGCAAGTTTCTGCATAGCAGCAATATGAATTGATACCAGTATTGTGAAATCGTTTCACCTCATCCTGTTAGATTAATGAAATAATAGACATTTATGGTGGTTTTATTAGCTATCTTGTTTAGATTTTACCCAGTGGGCCATCAGTTGTGGCCTTTTTCAAAACATCTTGCTGCTTTCTTAAGTTTAGACTGGCTTCGCCACCAGTTGTAACTGTTTGTGGATGCTTTCTGTGATTTGATTGGTTCTCAAGTCAAAATCCCTGCAATTAGCTGCTGGACTGAAGTAAATAATTGTCATGGTTGAGGGCAATCCGCTCTCTCTGGCACAGACCTGTTCTGGCAGTTATCTGTCCCAGTTTTATGGCTGTATGAGAAAACTTATTGTACATATTACTTGTAACTATTCATATTGCATCATTGTTTTGTTCTTAATCATTTTCTTGATTCTACAGAAAATAAATTTGTGTATTATTACAAAGTATATTCTTGATTTGTTTTGTTCAGTTAATTCCAGCAAGTTTCTCCCTATGTGTATGGATGCAAATTAGAATGATAAGTTCTGGGTAGACTTCATAAAGCCTTCTTTTCTGTTGAGCAGATATCAAGTCCTACATATTTTTGTTGTTATTGTCTGCCATATTTAAGTAAAGTAAACTTGAAATCAACAACAGAATGCAGTCCAGCTCATGGATGTGCATGTTGGACTTGTGAAGATGGTCATATGATCAAATTATTGAGTCAGATTTTGTTTATTACTTAAATACATTACAGATTAGCATCATCATCTTAAGAAGAACATATCAGTGATGTACAGATACTGTCTGCATTAAATTTGTTTAAAAACATATGTGACATCTGCATTTTTATAGGTACTGAGTTGTAAACAATATTTTATGCCTGGTTTGTAGACATGTTTATGATCCGTCTGCATTCCACATTGCGTGCTCTTTGTGCCAGTGCTTCATTAGTTACTACCAGCCATCACGTTGTTTCACATTCTGCACAAAAAAAAGTAACAAAACTACATATTTTTTGAAGATCTATTACTGTACAGTGTTTTAGGACCTGTACAAAATAGTGTCAAGGTCACTTCCACTTCAGATTTGTGCATGTGCCATGTTGTTATTATAATTTTCAGGAAAATAAAAGGTACGGGGTTGGAGTAGCCTCCAAAGGCATGACATTTTATACCAAATATCATGGAAAATTGAGGTGGATTGAAGGTTGAAAGTGGGACACATGCATGAATACAGCTTAGTGAACTTATGTGTCTCCTTTTTCCCTTGTAATCCAAGTAAGCTGAAAGAGTAGCATGATCCAGAGTAGTTGTCATTCAGTCTGGAATATGTTGTTGAAAAGAACTGAATTTGACCTGATATAGTGTTCTTACCACAAAATGGGAAACATGTCAGTCATGTGAGAGTTGCAGTTCTCATGGCACTGACTATGAATTGTACTTAGTCTCTTCTGGGATATAACACCATGTTGTCTGGTAGAAGTTTACCACCATCTTTTTGGTCAAAGAGTAAGACAATAAGCACTGTGCAGTACATTCTTCCAAAGCACTGGTACACTACTACTAGGATACATGGCGTCACATCCCAGAAGATTCATATCTGAACCACTTTTTGAATGAAAGCAAATGCCTTCCATAAATGTTGAGGCCACCATTTGCTATTTCTATGCTAGTATCTAGTTACAGTTTCAGGCCAGTCTACTATTTATGCCATAGTGTTCATTGAACATTTATTAAATTGTTGATTTCAAAATGTTCACTGATTTAAATGAAATTTTCTGCATCTGTTAAATTATGGAAGAAATTAAAACACACTGTATTATTACCATTCATGGTACTGTATGTACAGTCACTAGCACTTTCTGTATTATTTGCAGGATGGTATCCAGCAAAGTACTCGTATTTGAGACCTAGCTACTGTTTATAACTTTTGTGAGAGTACCAAGCTGTAATTCTGCTTGACTAGCTTGGTAAGGATTGAGAACAGTCAGAGAACATGATAACTCTTAATATGGATAGATCCAGTTCATTGTATTAGTTTCTAGCCAACATTATCCTACAAAGACGTTTGGCTAAAATAAGTGTAAATAAATCAGAAGCACCAACACGCTACCAGTTCTTCAAGGAAGACTTGGCAGCATGAAGATCTTTAGGCACTAGTTCACAATAACATAACAGAAAAATCTACTAAAATCATAACACTTTTTTTATGGCTTCATTCCTTGTAAACAGGGAGTAAGGAAGTTACACTGGAAAATCCCCTTAGTTCTCAAAGGAGTGAGTTTTCACCAATAATGGATAATTATATTGAATCTGAGTTTCTCACAGCAGCGATTACAAAGAGTACTGCTATCAACTTCATACAAAATGTTATTCACTATCCTTCTCTCAAGGTTAATCACTATTAGATGAAATTATTGGGGATCATCAGTGTGGGTTTTGACGTAACAGATCAACTACAGATCAGGTCTTCTGCATTTGTCAGATACTGGAAAAAAAAAGCCAGTTTAAAGGGACATTACATCATCTATACATAGACTTCAAGAGAGCCTATGATTCAGTTAGGAGGGAAGTATTGTACAATAGTCTCATGGAGTTTGGGGTACCCATGAAACTAGGCTCATTAAAATAGGAAGTCAGAGGAAACTGCCTAACAAGGAGCTTCACAATTTGTACTCTTCATCAAGTGGAATTAGAATGATCACGTCAAGTAGAATGAGATGGGAAGGACATATATATCATACATGAAAGGGAAGAGGAATCTATAGAAGCATTTGGTTGGAATGCCAGAAGGAAAGAGAGCATTAGAAGGTCCTAGGCATTGGTGGGAGGATAATATTGTCACAATTTAGGGATGTGTGACTACTGACTGGGTTTTAATTGGTGAATGGATTTTCTGACCACTTATACACATGACTCAGAACTACAAGCAATTACAGCCCCACTGCTAATCTCCACAGTTCACAAATGACCATAGCACCCTCTAAGCATTTTCCAACCTGCTGTGTCTGCTGTTCCCTGGCAACGGCTTCTAACAGTAGAGATTCTTCATCTTCACACACTCACTATCTATCTTCACAGCCTCCTTACAGAACTCAACTCAACTGACTTTGTCCCTTGCTTATAACATTTCAACACGGACCACATAGAAGATGTTGCCGCGGGAACATGTTTACTGAGCTGTTGCCCAGACATCGTCATTCCTTACAGAGTCACTGCTTAGCAGTGGGCATATATGCCACAATATCAAGGTTGATCTCAGAGAGACAGGTTGAGGTGGTATGTACTTGATTGATGTGGCTTAGGATAGGGATCAGTGGAGAGCTCTCATGAACATGGTAATGAACTTTTGGGTTCCACAAAATTTTGGGAAATTCTTGAGTAGGTGTGGCAACTCCTTTAGAAGGGTGCAGCTCCATGGAATTACTACTACCTCCATCTTCAGAATCAAGGATTAAAACAAATCACAAACCTGCAAGGAGCAGGTGAGAAGGACGGATGAATGGATAAGGTAAAGTTGCCTCTGTGCTCACCTCTGACATGACATGAAGATACATGGGGGAGTGGACATATAGATCCATATTTTCTTGACCTTGGCACTAGTTGGAGGTAAGTTGTCAATTTCATAACCCAGCCGCATTACCCCCACGGAAAGAGACCCTGGTACCCATTGGACAGGCAGTTGGGTGGGTCTTGGACAAGGAGAGGAGAGAATTCTTTACCCTACTGCAACTTGAACGCTGACCCCTCCATCATCTAGCCTGTGGCCAGTCTCTATACCCACTGCGCTATCCCAGATGAATGGATGAATGGATTAATTGTCTAACTGAATTGTGAAGTCAAAATATCATCTCTGCTCTTATTAGTATTTGAAAGAATGTTACCCAGCAATGTTTAAGACATTTTACATTTATTTCCAGTAGTCTGTGGTGTTCACATTTCTCTTTATTCTGAAATTACAGCCCTATTGCCCATTTATGGCATTACTTTATGTTAAATCTTGTTTCGCTAACATGTAACTGAGTTAAGACCTTGGTAATTAATAAGAATTGTTGCAATTTTAAAGAAGTGTTTGGAAGAATCTTATGTCTGCTTATCTTCAAATGTTTAATATGAGACAGCTAATGAAAACTAACAATAATCACAATTTAGGAGTAGTAAACCTTTGGGTTTTACGAGAAGAGGTAGTTAAAATGAATTAATTTAATTTAGGGAACTAGGATAACTCAGCTAATAAAGTGACTGGACTATCAGCGTTCAACTTTTTAGTAGGGGCAGTAACACACATACTCATTGCCACCAAGCCCCCTAGCCTAAAGGTGGCAAAGACCCTATTCACAGGTAAAAGTGAGTGGGGGTGTAACTGACCACATCACCAACCTATGCCGAAGTTATGTTTGCATGGAGCTGTGGGACTTGTCGATACTCCAATAGACAACCACTTCGGAAAGTTTGTGGGCCCTGAAAAGGGCCATTTGTTCCTTGATAGTAGGCCTGTTTGAAAGACCGGTGATGTACACGCTCTAACTTCAATCTGACCTGCAATCCTCTAACCTCTGATGACCAATCAATCACATTGCATCCAACACTCGCATTTATACAACACTCACTGTCTAGCCCACATTCAGATCATCACATGCGCTCACAATCGCAACAGCAAGTTTCGCTCCTCCATCAAGCATGGTATAAAATGCGGAGCCCAATGCTCACAATCATCAGGCGGTTAGATCAGAAAATTTGAGAGCAAGAGCATTTGTCTGCTGTGGTGTATCAGAGAGGCGAGCAAGGAGATTATTGGAAGTTCTGCAGTCCGGTGGTTGTGAAGTATTAGGGACATCCGAAGGAGTTAGAGTTGAATTGTGATCACTCGCTTACCGAAGGAGTGTTTGAGCTGTCTCGGGTGATCATAAAGTTGGAGTGTGTTCGTCTGCAGCTTACCTGTGTGACTGTTCTGCTGCCAGTGTATATTTAGTCATTCAGCCGAGTTGTGTGGGTCGAGTGACTTAAAGGTTAAGTGTTCACTTCCTCGTGCATCAGCCATAGTTAGGATAGTGCGCAGAAAACTATACAGTGACTGGCGTGGCTAGTGCATCGGAGATGGGGCCGTCCCGTCGGTCCCATCTGCAACGGACTATCAAGCAGGCGAAATGATGGAGCCGACCTTGTGTGAAACATGGTGGAAGGCAATCGTGGCTTCCTTTGAGAGGAACCACGTAAACTTAACAAATACTAATCCTGACTGCCAGGAAGAAATCAAATTACTGGGCGAAGGCTTGCAAACAATAGGGCAGCTTATCCACTCATCACCCTCCATAAATAGAAACCAACCATAGCACAATAGCAAGTTTTGTAAATGTTTCTCTGAGACTACTATGGCCATCTGAAATTGAGAATAATTGTTGTAAGGTGCTTGTATTACTCACAGATGCAGCTTCCTGAATGTTGAAAGCAGCAAAGGCCTTACAAGTATTTTATTCAAATCTTATACACGTAACCTGTTTAGCACACGGATTACACCATATTGCAGAAAAAATACGCGCACAGTTTCCAGCTGTTAACGATTTAATTGCAAGTGGGGGGAAAAAAAAAACTTTCTGAAAGCACCAGTTCATGTCCAGTTTTACAAAGATTGCTTACCTAAGGTTCCTCTGCTACCTGAACCTGTCCTAACTAGGTGGGGGACATGGAAATCCGCAGTTTCATTTTATCAAGAGAATTTCAAACAAGTAAAAGAAATGGTTGCAAAACTTGAAGATGAGTATGCATTTGTCCGTGAAGCAAAAGTGGTGTTTGGAAGTGACACTGTTTATCAAGATGTGAATATTATCCATGCACATTTTTCTACAGTTTCAAAAGCCATTGAGAGCTTAGAAACTTGTGGTGCACTCCTTCATGACTCACTTGAACTCGTTCACTGAATTCTGCTCCAGGCGAAATTGGAGAGAAGATTAAATGCAAGTTATAAATGGTGTTGAATTCGAACCCAGAACTAAGAAAGATTCAGTCAATTAGTCAGTACTTGAGTGGAATTAGAGTATCTTTGCCAGACGAATGTTCCGAACCTTCGGTGCCAGTGTATAAATACTGTCCAAACACGTCAGTTGATGTAGATAGATCATTCTCAGCCTATAAACTCATTTTGACGGACAACGGACGAAGTTTGTCTCCAGAAAACACTGAAAGACTTCTAGTTGAGTATTGCGATGCTACTTTCTGCAGTGAATGACGCATGTAAATAGGTGAGTCTGAATAAAGTGACCTGTTTCTGAAGAGCATATTGTTTTATTTTTGGTGCATATTTTCCCGCTTTTTAGTGCATATTTTAAGTGTTTTTAGCCCATAAAGATCCGGGCCATAGTAATGACTTATGCTAATCCTACCTGGGAGTGTGTGGCAGACACCCATCTAGTGAAACTGCAGCGCCTGCAAAACAAGGTTCTCCGCACGATTGGAAATTTTCCAAGGCGCACACCGGTCCGTGATTTGCACATGGCATTCAAAATCCCATACGTATATGACTTCATAACAAAATTATGCAGGCAACGAACAGAAGTCATATAAAATCATGATAATGAGAATGTTCGCAACATCGGACAAGGCGAAGCCCGCCACAGAAAGTATAAGAGGCTTAAACTTGGCGGCGGTCAGGCATACAACCGTTCAAGTGACTAGACTTCCGTGGTAGCAAATAATACTAGAAGTAGGGCATAATCTGCTGTACAAAGCCTGGATTGACAGAGGCCTTGTAATTATTGTACATAGAAATAGGAATTAAGACTAGAATTAAATTGTAAATATATGTCAATACTGACTAAGACTGACAAATGACAGACCCGACCTCTCGTCAGAGTGGGCGCCCCAAATGGACAGGACAGCAACTTTCACAAAGAAGAAAACGTCTGGCTCGACACCAAGACAGGCAGACTGACTGACCGTCATTGCAACATGACTTTGACTTTGATTTTGACTTGCAATGTGATTTGTTTGCGTGCGTGATGTTGAAAAGTGAGCTGCACAGCAGGTGGACAGCAAATATGAGAGCTGACAGCAATGTGCAGCAATGTGCTATTGACTTAGGAGTGAGTGTTGTCCGTTGATCGGCGAAACAGCACTCCATCATATGCCTTCACGGCATGGTGTTTAATTGGTTTAATTTAGGAGACCTTCTTGCAGTCAGGAAAATTTTTGACAAACGTTTCTTTAAGTTTAGAAATTTCATCAACCTTGATCAGCAGCATTAGAATCGTTAAAAACGACCACAAATCACATAGCGGAATCACCAGCCATATTCCCATCTGTGGTTGACCCTAATTATTAAACATTTTACATACAAATAGGTTCTAAAGGGTTCTGACGATGGTGCATGACACAGAAGATGGAAACAGATCCAGTTTCCGAAACGTCGTGTCCACTGTTACCTGGAATTCCGGACGATGGAAAAAGGACAAAAGCCCAATAATTGTGTATTTTAAATGCAGTAGTTCAACCTGTAGAAAAGACAATCAGCGTTACTATCGGAAATGCTCGGTAGTAAAAGTAATTTTGCGGTAATTCGGTAAATTTACGGTAAAATGTGGTGATTGGCGACACTGGGCTGGCACTATACTTGTCTTTGTAGCCTGAATCGCAAGTCTACGGCTGTTTACCTTCGCCAGGATACGCGTATTAACCGCGTATGTAAACTGGGCGTTAATTCCTTCATAAATTGCAACTTTATTCATTTTGTTATTAGAATTATCCTTCTTCATCTAACTTGTATCTTAATGGAATGGTCTAAATCCTTTGATTCCCAGATCAATAATGTTGTCAACAATCTACATTTTCACAGGGTTTGCCATCATGGAATTCTGACGACAGAGCCCTCTCATGACACAAATGAAAAAGCACTACCACGAGCAAAATGGACGAGGAAGAAAGTCGTGGATGTCGGAGTGTATCAATGTCTACATTTCCACCAACTCCATTAGGATTAGAAGCCTTGTATTCACTATGTCGACGAATATATCCAGATCAAATGAACCCACTTCAAGTGACTGCCTTAGTTAAATATTGGTAAGCGTTTGTGTTAGGGTTTGTGACCGCAGTTGTCAAAAAGGCACACCTATGTTTGCCTGTGTGTATATATACATAAGCATAAAGTTTACGCGGATGCAGACATCCCAAAATAACGTATTTGGGTGGGGCATATTCAGAAATATAACACATCCAGGTTTCCTATAATTTAACTTATTGTATCCGCCGTCACAGTAGCAACAATTAGTACTATATGTATATGTAGAACTACCGTTTTTGCAGATATATCAGTTTTGTTAATTGGTGTGTGTGCTTATAATGACATGCTCACAATTCTTTCATTTTTCAAAGGAAGCTCATATTGGTCTTTTAGGATAAATGAAATAGTCCATGGAAACTGACAGATGAATTATGATATAGTAATAGATCTGCACTTTGGGAATTAGGCAAATAGTTCTAGTTCTTGTGTCTTGTGAGGTAATTATTATTTTAGTACTGAAGCATAGGGCTGCCACAAACTTATGAATGTTGGATGTCCAAATGATAAGAATACTTTAATCACCTAGATTACCTTTAATTCATTTATTGACAAAATAAGAACAGGTGAAAATATACAATAAACAGTCACAGAAGATACTTTCTCCATCTTACATGTTTGTTTTTTTACAATGTGGGAAGTGTATATGTACAGATATTTCTAGAGACAGTACAAATATATAGTAATGGAAAGTAAACTGAACTAATTACATAAGTAAAAAAGTAAAGGTATCCATATAACAGGCTGTGGAGGCCCATAGGTTTGTGAGATGTTGAGGTTCCCACATTTTCAAGACATTCGGCTCATAGATGGCGGCAAGGTTGTCAGCACTACGTGCTGGCTCCCCTTTACCCCCAAGAGTATTTCTGGTACTCATTTCTGTTAGAGGCTGAGTTGACCCCAGGGCCATGGTGCGGCTGGAAGGATTAAGTCAATTGAAAAAAAATCCAATGACCTCATCGGAATTTGAACCAACAACCTTTCAGCTTGTAGCATAGTGCCTCAACCGACTACGCTACCGCATACCCTTGTGTAAACTGAACTCCCCTAACTAAATTAGTTGTTTATCATTGATATATGACACTGCTAGTGTAAGAAGCATTCTTTTTCTGTGATTCTGTAGCATGATTTTCTGTGTTCTAAAAATATTGATACAACTGATAAACTTCTGTGTCAGGTTGACATCCTTGAAGGCTCTTTCTGAAGGGTTGATATGTAAATTGTGGTATTTCTGGTTATGCCCCCACGTAGTTTCAAACGAGACTATATGGTGTCATAACTCAGAAGACTTGATATTATTATTTGTGTATGCATGCAGCTATGCACCGGCACAGGCATGTGATGTAGCTGCTGGATGTCATGTGTGTCTTCATGTAACCCCTTTTGTCTGTTATTTTTTTCACACACATGAGTATTGTCACGTTTGAGGGATTGTGTGATGAATACTAATGGGTTCTGGATTAGATGATTGGGATTATTGGCACTTCTTTACAATTGCAATCAATTAAGACAGCTCACAACCAGTGTCTGTCTGACTTGCTCAATTCATTACTGGACCATGAATGTCTCTTCTTCCACTGTGACGAATGACAAAAGACAAATCGGTGCTCACACATTGAACTCATTGAACAAAGTCTGCCTGATGAATCCTCCCTTCTTGGTCTGCTGGACTCCTTATATAGGCTAGCTTGTATCTATGGAAATCGGTTGTCAGTTGCGTGTACCCATGTAAATCATTTGTTGTCACGAAAACTTGCTTACCGAAACATTGGCTAATAAGCAACAGAGGCCCTGCTGTTGATTATGTTACCTTGAGAATGTGTTTACTGAACTGTTGCTTAGCAGATGGTCATATACCATCAAAGTATGTATGGGGGGGGGGAGTGAAGTGGTGATTATAAAGAAAGAATTTTGTTTGAACATTTCCTTCTACTATCAAAAATGTTTCTAGTGCCCCTTTATTGTATACTATATGTAGTTTTATGCATATTTCTGTTGGAGCAGGTTTAGTGGCTTTGATGTGTACATTATTTTACTTGCACTCTTATATTATTTCTTCCACTGTGTATGGCTTCAATGTGAAGTTGTGGTATATGCAAGTATACCAAAAGCAAAACTACCAACCAATTAAATGTGATCTGCCTATTTATGTTACGCTTCTCATCATATGTACATTATTCACCATAGTCTCACATTGATGTTCTACGGACTCTTCTGTGCACTAGTTTGTGAGAAGTTAAAATATCCACCTGTCTAAATCCATACTGTAAGCACATTTAAGCCTTGATATACATGTTTATATGAAGTTTCTGTTAATCTTTAACAAGTTTTTCATCTAGGGTTCAATTTCTGGTGGAGGCAGAAATTGTCTCTTTTGCACTGTGTTTAGGCTTGCTTGGGATCCCACCCAGCCCCTTATCTAGTGGGAAAGGGTTCGGGTCATTAGGGCATGAAGCTGATAACCTGCCTCCATCTAGTGCTGAGGTTAAGAAAGTGAGAAGCTCTGCATCCGGTCACCCATGACTTTGTGGTATGGGGGTTACTTAAGCACAGCTTTACCTTATCTTTGCCTTTCTCCCTGTGCATCAAAATCATTATTGTACTTCACGAGGGTGTGGTAACACAGTGCACCAGCAATGCACAGCATGTGCAGGTTGCAGATGTCAGGTAGTACTAATATCCCTGGTAAGTGGATATGTCATCAGTAGTCATGCTGTCATCAACTGTTGTCATTTTCGTAAAAGATATTTATTTAGAAGAGCTTCTTGAGGAAACTTGTATTTTGAATTTTTTTAATATTGGAAGTTATGTTTGGATTGTGGGTATATGACTTGCCACTCCTAGTATTCTTGTATTATTGTTATACATCTACCAGTTAGTTTAGCGCTGCTCTTGTGTTAATGAGTTCCACTCTATTTCAGTATTACCCTCCTGCCCATGCCTAAGTTTTCTGAATGGCCTCTTCCCCCTTCAGGTTTTCAGACCAAAATTTTATATTCATTTCTTGAGAAAGACACAAGATTGTTAAATGAAAAGAAATACACTTTTAGTTGGAGGGATTCATCATTTTGTGAATTTTGTATGAAATACTTCTGCATCACTTAAATACTTTGGGATTTTTTTTTGTATAAATAACTTTGGGAATTTGTGTAAAGCTTGTACACCTTTCCTCTGTCTCTCTGCATATATGACTGAGTATATTGTCATCATCTCTGTGAGGATGTTTTGTCATTGCTTTTAGAATATTGAATAAATTATTAGGTATGCTAATGAGAGTGTGGGAATCACCAAGCAAGTAGGCTTAGGTGGTAATGCTTTTGACTTGTATTCAGGTTGTGCTTAGTTTGAATCTTGGCTGGGACACTTACTATCGTGACTGAGGTTCTTCATGGCTTTCCTTGGCCCTATCAGGGGAATTCTGGCATAATACTTCGAAACAGGCCATGACCACTTCCTTCCAAATATGTATTCTTTAATCACACTCTGATTTTATGCTGTATAGAATGGGGTGGTACAAAATGGGATTCATTTGACTCAGGATAGAGACCAATGGCAGGCTCTTATTAACACGGATAGGAACTTTTGGGTTCCATAAAATGTTGGGAAATTTTTGAGTAGCTGAGTAACTGTTGGCTTCTCAAGAAGGACTTGGCTTTGTGGAGTTTATTAATTACACTCTGACAACCTGACAATGTTAAATAAAACCATAAATAAATATGTAAAGTGGGAATCACTATTGCAGTATAATAAGATTTTAATTTTTTTTATTGTTCTTAGTCTCCTGTGAAAGAGATATGGCTGCTTCTGGCAGCATGTTTGAAATATACATTTCTAATATCTGATTTTTTTTTCAGGCTTGGAGGTCCAGATCCTTTGGATTATATCAGCATGTATACCAATCCTGGAGATCCTGAACGGAATATACCACCTCATTGGCATTACATTAGGTACATCTTGTTTGTAGCTAGTTCTATGCATTCTTTTATCAGAAGTGTCAGGAGAGAGTGTGACAAAACTAATACATATTAGTATTCATTTAATGTGAAAAGTAAACTATCTTCATGGAGTTTCAGTTTCTTATTTTTTTGTAAGGATGTATTACTGTCATGAGTATGAAACGTGTTTAACATTTACGGGCTGTGGGACTCTGTATTTTGGTGAAATGTGTCTGGCATTGCAATATTTGCTTCACCATACTATCCCTGTATTCAGGAACTGGTGTGTAACAGTTAATGACATGTCATTTTCTTGCTTATGTATATAGACCTTGATTTATGTTTTCTTGCTGTGGGTTGTTTAAAGAAATTGACTGCAGGAGGGTCATTCTTGGCCTGAAAGGATCAATTTCCAGTCACATTTTATCCACATGACCATTCTGTTACCATGACATTCACATTGCTTCATTAGCTTTATCACCTGTGCAGTATGTGTGTGAATGGGTAAACAAATTTTTCTTCCATATTAGTAGTACATGAACAGTATGGTGTTAGGACACACTCCTCAACTGCGAAGGCAGCTTTTACACTGATAAATAATATTTTAACTGCGATGAATATTAAGTTAATGGTGGGAGGCATTTTTTGTGATTTACAAAAGACATTTGATTGTATTAACCATAAAATATTGGATAAATTGGAATTCTATGGAATTGAAGGAAAATTCAAAACACTTATTGGATCTTATTTGACAGGTAGTTGTACTGGGTAATAGAATTGACAGTAACAACTCATCCAAATGGGAAACAATTAAATGCAGTGTTCCACAGGGCTCAATTCTTGGTCTCTTGTTTTTTCTGCTTTATATTAATGATTTACCTAAATAAAAATAATAATATATTATTTGCAGATGGCACCAGTATTATAGTAACTGACACTAATAAGTTAAACTTTGAAATAAATCTTAATCAAACTTTCAAAGATATAAATACATGGTTTAATGCTAATTTGCTTACCTTGAATTTTAATAAGACTCAATATGTCAAGTTTCCACCTTTGAATTATTATAATATCACTACTCAAATTAACTGTGATCAGATAAATTTAACAAGTGTGACTGAGACGTAATTTCTGGGATTAATTATTGATGATACTCTTTTGTGGAAACAGCATATTGATTATGTTATTAATAAAATTTCCATTTCATGTTATGCATTGAGAAATATAAAATATATTGTAAGATTTGAGGTTTTCACGGCGGTGACTGTGAAGAAAGCAGTCTTCTGGGAGGAGGCACTGAGTAGATGTGGTGTTAATCGACGTTTCAGAGAAACGTATCGCGTCCATCTTCAGCAAGTGATGGAAGCCTCTCATCTGTACACTAACTCCTCCCCCCCAGGGCATGACGCCACATCCACAAGGCTACACAGGCCATGATTGACTCACATAGCAACCCACCAGCTTAAGGGTTAATACCGTCCCATTAACCTTGCCTTTCTCTCCCCTGACACAGTATCCTACACAAACCCTGCTTCTCCCTCTCCACTGATTTCCCATTTAGACTTGTCCCCACCCCTCCCTGCTCTCACATAGCTGTGTTTCTTTCCAACATCAGTCCAGTCTGCTTGCACCGGTTCTCACTGTCTCTTCACTTTCGGAGTTCTTATTTTTCCTTATACCCAGAAGATTGAGGCGATACGTTCCTCCGAAACGTCGGTTAACACCACATATATGTGGTACCACATCCCAGAAGACTGCTTTCTACATAAAATATCTTGTTCCTTTAGATACGTTAAAGCTAATTTATTTTGCTCATATACATTCTGTCATAAGTTATGGTATAATTTTTTGGGTGGCTCTTCTTGTGTTAACAAAGTTTTCATATTGCAAAAGAAAGTTATTAGAATTATAACGAATTCTAGACCAAGAGAGTTTTGTAGGGACATTTTTAAGAATTTGGAAATAATGACGTTCTGCTCTCAGTACATATATTCATTACTTTTATACACAATTAATAATAAACATTTATTTGATTTTAACAATGAGATTCACAAATACAAAACTAGAGCCCTCAATAATTTATATGGCATGCAGTAGTGTAATGGTTGAGGTGCTACGCTACAAGCCGAAAGGTCGCAGGTTCAAATCCCAATAAGGTCATTGGATTTTTTTCAGTTGACCTAATCCTTCCAGCCGCACTAGGCCCTGGGATTTACTCAGCCTCTAACAGAAATGAGTACCAGGAATTAAATAATAATTTTCCTGGGGAGTAAAGCACAGCCGGCGCGTAAGGCTGACAACCTTACCGCCATCTTTGAGCCGATTGTCTAGATAATGTGGGACCCTCAACATCTCACAACCCTATGGGCCTTCACGGCCTGGTACAGGGACAGCTTTACTTTTTTTTTTTTACTTTATTTTTACTGCAGTTAACCTAACAAAATACAATAACCATCTTCCTCAAACAATAAAAATGTTGGCTATTGATGAGAGAAGTTTTAAATCTGCATTGAAGAAGTTTTTATAATATCATTCTTTTTATTCCATTAATGAATATTATCATCATAATTGGTCATAAGTATGTAAATTTGTAATGTATTTAATTCAGTTAATATAGTTTATTTAAATAAAATTGTATTAGTTCAAGTTTTATAGTAAGTTATTTTTAAATTATGTTTATTTATTACAATCTTATTATGTTTCATACTTGATATTATTATTATTTATGTTAATCGATTAATGTAAGTGATTTTTATTATGTGTCTCATGTAATGTTGTATATGTATCTTGATATATTTATTTTCAAAGGGACCATTTCCACATCCTAGGTTTGTTACCTGTATGGATATATGGAAAATAAAGGAAATGAATGAATGGGTATGTGAACCGTTGGACCACAATCAAAATTTCAAACGCAGAGTTATCTTGTTAGCCTTATTGTGCTAGTGGGGAAGTGACCCAAAGAATAAAAGTTTTCACATATGTTTGTAGGAGAGAGGTTAATACAGAGGTGCACCTCACTATCGGAAACCTCAGACATAGATCCTGAGCTAATAGTTTTATTACACTAGTGGAAGGTGACTTTAAAATTTAAAATTTTCTCTCGTGTTTGTAGTTGTGGGGTTGTGGGGGAGGTGGAGGTAAACTATAAGATGAGACTGGAACTGCTAATTTTTGTTGTCCTAGTGGGCTAGAGTGGTACATAATATCTCTAAACAGTATATCATTTCTTGTTTTCACACTGGCACACATTTTGAGAACTAAAATGTAGAAAACAAGAACTTTTCTTGTACATTGACTGATGAAGCAGTTTCACATGAGTGTGAAAGTGAGCTTGATGAAGACACAGCAGCAGTGGTGATAGTGTGAGCAGAAGGCAGACAATATACCTCTATTATTTGTATTCATAGCATGAATGAGAAAGTGTTGTGGTTGTGAAAAAATTTATCTTGAGATTTTGATGGATTAACATGTTGTGATCTCCCGCAGAATACAAAAGAAGTGGTTCTTTGAATGCCATCTGTGTGCATGTTTGTATGAATGGGTGCTTCACTAGCACCTGAATGGTTGGGCATATTTCATTCATACTTGGTGTTTAAGCGTTTGTTCACCACAGGACATTGCCTTGTGAATAATAACATTTTAGCTCCAGAAATAAGGGCACTTCAGATAGGTTTCAATGAACCAAGCTTCCTGGAAAACAACTAATAGTTTTGATTCAGTTACAGTAATTTGTGGAGACCATTTCTGTAAATAGAACTGCATAAATGTTATTGTCAGGAAAGAAACAGTACATGCACAAGGGGCCCAAATGTGAAACTGGGTAAAAGAAGGTGAAGCTCTCTGTGTAACAGGCCATGAAGGCCCATAGGGTTGTGAGACGTTGAAACTCCCACATTTTCTGTAGACAATTGGCTCCCAGATGGTGGTAAGGTTGTTAGCCTTATGCACTGACCGCTCTTTACCCCCCAGGAAGATTCCTGGTACTCATTTTTGTTGGAGGCTAAGGTGACAACAGAGCAATAGTGCAACTGGAAGGATTAGGTAAATTGAAAAAAGAAATGCACTTCATTGGGACTCGAACCCGCGACCTTCTGGCTTGAAGCATAGTGCCTCAACCAACTATGCTACCATGTGCCCCCTCAGAACTGGGTTTGCTAGTTAAATGAATTCCAGTGTTGATCAGTAGTCAGTAAGGAACATTTGATTCTGTTTCCAGGGAAATCTAGTGAACCTCATTCATATGTCAGAAAGCGCAAGTTTGAACTGATTTTTAAAACTACGTCAAACTCACCAAGTGCGAATCAGCTGTCAGTGCCTTTTTATGGGGGATTTAATCCTATCCCATACAGTAAACATTAATTAAGCTGATTGCAACTAGGGTGGAATTGTCTCCATTGGAGTGTGTCCTGCTAGTCTCGTCTTCACTGTGCAGGTTATAGAACTGTAACATGTTCTACTGGCATTTGGAAGATACCTGACTCAGGTTCTTAGCATTCACTCATTTTGTTAGTACATGAATGTTAATGTAATGTGTGAATTTCAGCTTTGGCTTGTCAGATTTACATGGTGATGGGAGAGTGCATGATGTATCAGGGCCAGAAACACCAAGTGGTTTTGGTTTTGAGTTGACATTCCGGCTGAAAAGTGAACCGGGGGAAACTGCTCCACCAACATGGCCAGCTGCAGTTATGCAAGCCCTTGCCAAGTATGTGTTCCAGTCAGGTATGCTTAACACCAGTAATATTCTTCCTTCTTCAAAGTACTTTACAGAAGTGCTGTTACTGCCTATGAAAAAATGTTATGAAAGCTAGTTGTTTTCTGTTTTAAGTTGGTTGTTACTGATTGGGGTTTTAAAGCATTTTGTCTTTGAAAAAAAAGTTTGAGTTCTTAGATAATCAGTTAAGCTTGTTCTTTTGAATTCATTGAATTATTTGTGTCAGACTGTTTGCTCTCCTTCTTCTGCTGTGATGGATTAGAATCTCTGGCCTGTTCCCATTCAGAATTAATTAATTCTGACATTATGAATCTTGTTGATAATTGGACTGATACTGTCCTCTCTTTTTGTCAATTATTTTCTGCTTTTATTACTTGAAATTCTGTAGTTTGATATAACATTGCTTCATTGATGATGTATCATTCAGTTTGTGTTAACAGTGGCAGTATTGTTATTTCCTTCAGCATTCTTCCTGAAAAGTGAACTGGGGGGGGGGGATCTTTGCCAACATGACCAGTAGCATTGTAGTATTTAGATGTGAGATTGTAGTGATTGTCACTGTTTTTTTCTATGGTACACATCATCATCATCATCATCAGTAATCTGTCAAGACGACAGGTCCACAGTCTCTTTCAAAACAATTCCTCCACTTAATGCGATCTAGAGCTTTCTCCTTCAAATGACAGTATCCTCTTCTGTCCCCAAGGTCATCCAGCATCTTCTTACGTCTTCTTCCTCGTCTTCTTGTCACTTCTATCCGCCCATCTATCTTTCCTTCGATAGCACACATACCAGCAAGCAATTTCTGCATACTGAGAACTTGTCAGTAGCCACGCAGCTACTGACACATTATACATTTCAACATTGAGGCTAAATCCAAACATGAATGAACCAGAAAACATGGTTGGGGGTAGGGCTGATAAGTGCTATATTTTGTGTGTTCTCTAGTATAATATATAAAAGAAGAAAAGCATAAAAGGTATTCATGACAACTTGTAGCAGATCGTAATGTATCTGTGGGAGCTGCGGTGTGAAGTAAATTATACTTACCGAGGCTAGGATACAATAGTGAATGTGTGGTGACAGCGTTTTGAGTTCTTTGTATTATAAAAGTATTCTTGCATTTTTCAAGTAAGATTGTAAGTTCACACAAAATCCTGTCTAGGAAGTTACTTTCATTGAATCTGTTCAACTGTTGTATGTATTGTGTATCCTTTACACATATGTGGTATACACACACGTGCACACTTCCTGTCTGTCTCATTCCAGCATACTCATGCAGACAGATCTGCACTGCAATTTCTGAAACTGGTTTTGCTATGCAGCATGCCATAATCTGATGTACAATTTCATTATTGTCATAATGCCAGTACTTTTCTTGCAGAGGAAGTAATGGAGAAATAAGTTGGAATGGGAATTCCAACTTGGAATTCTTTAGTAACAAATATGCTTAGAAATAGGGATAATAACATAAACAATTTTAATATTGCATAATTTTATGTATAGTGATGTAAGACTGTAAATTTAACACATGTTTCTTTTATACAGGTGATGAATTCTTTAGTAACAGATTTGCCTAAAAATAAGGATAATAGCATAAACAATTTTAATATTGCATAATTTTATGTATAGTGATGTAAGACTGTTTTTTTGGTATGAATTTAACACATGTTTTTTTATCTATTTTAATGATTATAAACTGTACATATATATTTATATTTGTATTGTACTATATTAACTATGTGACTGGTTCTATATCTATGTATATGGATTTATGGAATATACAATAAATGAATGAATGGGCTTGAATCCATGTATGTAGCAGCAAAATTAACAATTTTCTCTTGATTGGCTTGGGACGTCATCTCTCTAACAATTTTTCTGCAGTACACCTTTTGGGAGAAGCATTGGGTTTGGACTGGTAGAAGACACACAGATTTACTTGGCAATTATGTATACATATTAAATCGGTAACACTTTCATGTCAAGGAAAATGAGGACAGATTTTCAATTTCAAGATGTGAGATTTTTCTTTTTGAAGGTGTGCAACAACATGTCATGTGTGATTGTTGTAAACATGTACCGTGTTTCAGATATCCTCACTGATCAGAAATTAATACAGTGTTCCATTGGTAATATGTTCATTTTGAGATCCTGTGTATTTAAATCATGTAGGTTCAACTGGGAAGGACGAATAGGAAAGTATTTATGGATTGCTTTAAGTTACTATCCCAGCATTTGCTTGGATGAACTGAAGAAAGCCACAGAGTACATATGCCAGGCTAGCAAGCTTGAATACAGAGCAGGAGTGTCGGCCACTCATCAGTAAAGTTGATTCTTTCTGTATAACCTTTGTTACAGTTTAAAGTATAGATTGCATATAATACTGTAAGTTGGGCATTTGAACAGTTTTTCTTCTGTTCCAGCCAATACGCTATGTGTAGGGGATCATGTCTCATGGCACAGTGCGTTAGATAATAGTGAGTCACGTATTCAACATATGCTGATGACAGAGGACCCACAGTTAGGAACAGCACATACACCATTTGGATCAGTGAATTTTGTCCAGATTGTGGGCATTTGCACAGAGGAGCTGCAAGCAGCGCAGCACTGGAATGGCCCCGGTGTTCTTGAGATTCTTAAGAGGCTACCAGGGTAATTTTCATGTTTACCTATTTTTAATTATGTCAGAACTTTTCTGTTATTGCAAGTTTTTTACTTTCTGGTATTTGTGAGGTAAAGGTAGAGCTGTCCATGTGCTTAATTAATTAATCAATCAATTAATTAAACGCCATGTCATGAAGATGTATGGGGGAGTGGGGAGCCCTAGAACCAGTCGGGAGAGAAGAGAAAAATCTTTTGCCTCTGCCAGGAATTGAACCCCAGCTATCCATTCCATCGCCCATTGCTATATGACTGAGCTATCCTGGCTCCCACTTTTTTGTGTATGTAGTGTGAGAAAGTTTTGTGATTCTGAAAGAAAATTGGTCTCAAGATTTTATTTGATTTGTGCATTTTCAGTACCCCTGAACTAAAAAAGGTGGTTGTTGGAATGCTGTGTGTATATATCTGTGGCCACTTCCATAGTGCCCGAATGGTTTGACATATTTTATTCATGTTCAGCATTTAAGAGTATCCATAGTAGCCTGCTGCATGGAGAGTATGAACATTCTACCTGAAAAAAAAAATCGTGTCCTTTCACAGGGGCCTCCAAACAGAATTGTGATTTTCTCGAAACCATCTGTAATGATCTTTGTAAAGTTCAGTAATGTATGGAGACCATCACCTTGAATAAAACTGCATAAGTGATATCTTCAGGCAGATGTAGACCTTTTAGCAGTCAAAACATGAAATGCTAGTTTTCTTCAAAATATCTTGATTGAATTCAATTAAATTTTAATCATCAGTGGAGACAGTGCACACAAATAATAAAACAGTGATCCATCAGACGTATATGAGAATGTATATGCAGTATCAGTTTTTAAACTGAAATACGAGTGTACTGGCACTACAATTGTTTAGGACAAATTATGCATTTATTTAAGATTTACACGATCAGTTTTGGAATGTGTTAGCTTTGACTAGTCGATAGTGGAAGAAAATCAATGCATTGGGGCCCATTGTTCATAACAAACCTCTGGCGTGGTGAGAGCTTGCTTGAATTTGAGCTGTTACAGAGGAAGAGCCATGTGATGGTACATGTAATGCTTTCAGATTAAATTAATTGTCCATAACACTGTCTCCTCCTCTGGATAAGTCTTGTTTTTGCCCTTACAGGGTTTTAAACTTCTTCATGCTGTTGCTACAGACATGGTATACTGGAGACATAGTGTTTACTTTATGTCACAAGGTGTAATACCAATCGAATGTCGTGGGTTAATGCTTTGTTTCCAGAATGTTTGTGGATGGAATCTTGGCAGGGAAACTTGGTATTCTGACTAATGTTGTCATGATTTTTCTGAGTTACTCCAGTCATGTGTGGAGAAACTACCTTAAATAGGCCATAGCCATCTCCCTCATCTGTACTAAAAAAACTGTGTCCTCATATGGTTACTTCTGTTGAACACTGTATAACATTTGTAGTTAACAGAACACCATTAAATAAACCAGTAGTATTACATTCCATTCATGGGATGTGGAAGGAAGTAGTCATGATGTGATATTAGGTAATATGCTGGCATGTACTTGGAGGGGTGGAGGAAATTCATGAAAAACCTGTTTTAGCCACTCTGGGACCTCCCCAGTATGAAGCAGGAGTGGTAACAATATGACCACAATGTTCTGTTATCAAGTTTATTGTTGTAACTTGTGAATGTGTTATTTCAGTGCAGGGGGCCCATGGTTAATAACAGATATGCGCCGTGGTGAGAGCATGTTGGAACTTGATCTAGCAGCTCAGGAGGAGGTGGAGAGAGGAATTGAGACTGAAGGATCGAACCTTAGTGGTGTTAGTGCTCGGTGTTCATGGGCTGATGTTAATGTGCAGCAGCTGACACCAGGAGCAGGACTTGGAAAAGGGGAAGGGGGTCTGTTACGAGAGGGTCCTGCAACCCGTCCTGAACCACTAGATACTCCTCACCTATCACAGCAGCAAAGCCAGCAAATCAAAGCAGCCCTCAAGAAAGGTCTTCTCAATACGAAACCTGTTCTTCCACCAATCAGAAGATGTACAGATCTGGACAAGTATGGATTAATGATACAGCATATGACCAAATGTGTTTTGAATTTTAGTATACTTGTGTTATAGGACCATTAGTAGGAGACTGTTTTGTTTTCAAGATGAAGTGTGGGGTTTTCACAGCAGAAGAATTTAATTATGATCATCTGAGTTCTGTCCCCTATAGTTCTCCTGTTGCCTGGAAGATGGAGGTAGCAGCTTCCTCTGAAATGTTGATGACCACCTACGAAGCCTGGTGTCATAACCCAGAACATCTCACAGTCCCAAGGTCTTCCCTTTCGTTTCTCCACTTTAGTTTATTTGATAGTAAATTAAAGTTCTCTTTTGTGGGAGTTCTTAAACTGTTATTTATTATAAGTAAGAATTAAACCTTTATTGAATGAACATGGCTTGTAACAGGAAAAAACATCAGCACTGACAGTTTATTAATGTTCCATATATAGAAATATCTTGTGTAAAACAAGGGAATTTTTATGGTTCTTTCTTCATAAGGAGCAATTCCTAGCCAAGCTTGATTTATTTTCTACATGATTTTGCCTAAATTGTAATGACAGGTTTTCTTCCTAGGCTCTTTATAGCTGACAGTATTTAAAGGTGCTGTTAAACCACACTTTGCCTCTCCCATGTTTTGGAGAGGAAAGTGTGCATTCCAGAATCTGAGAATTATGCATATGAACAAAGAATTTACATGACCAAGAGGCAGAAGTTCTTAGAGCACAGGTACAGAGCTTTCCTAATTCATGACCAAAAAAAAAATATTGTCTGTACAAGAGGTTGTGTTAGCGTGAGATACATGATGACCACTTCAAACAGCTTAGCTAATATAAGCACAGTGTAGTATGATTTTGCTGTGTTCACTTTGTTTGGCCATAGACAGCATTAAAATCCATGCTATTTTAATTATCATTAAAATCATGGGGCTTACAGCAGAAGTGTAATGGCCATAAAACTGTGTATTTTATTTTTATTTACAACTTGTGATGAAACAGTTTTTGTTCTGATAAATCTTTAGCAAGTGATCTCCAAGTTATGTGCATGGTTAATGTAGGTACCCATTTTTACTCTCATGTGAATTATCTGTTGTCTGATATTAACAAAAATTTACATGTTGACAAATTTTAATGAAGTCTGCACAATATCAGACTTCATGACAGTCTCCATGGTGGTTCTTGAGTTCACACATCCAGGAAGATGGTTGGATGGAAATGTGGTCGAGCTAATACATGTATTTAGCTACTTCCATTGTGAGTGTACTGTGAAGAATAAATATAGCCATACCTTTGTTTTTTTTGAAACCTTTGTTCTGTATAGTAGTATATATATAGTAATATATAAAAATAGACTTCAGGTTTGAAGAATATGTGGAATATTATAGGTTCTCATTACAGTAGAGTTGCACAGTAGAGCAGCTGCTAATTCAAATCTTTTTGTATTTTCAGTAATGACAATTCCTATAAGAAAGATTCCTATGACAGTAGCTCATCAAATGAGTTTGGTGCGCTAGAATCAACAGAACTTCTGCGGAGCAAGAGATTGGAGGGCTTGCATCTCACATTCAACTTAGAAGCTGGGAGTTTGTTGCCCTTAGCAGTACGGTATGTTGTCAGTTGAGTGACTGAAGTATAGCAACATTTATTTAAAATGGAACTCTGCTCATTTGGACGATTTTCCATTTGTGTAGAACTCAGTACAACGAATTACATTTTGTGGTTTGGTTACAGAGACTAATTTTTTGTGGGTTTCATAGGTCCATTGAGACATGCTGGGATAGTACATTAAATCTGGTCACAATTGCCTTATTTCACATACTTTTCCCATTTGTTATTCATCGGTCATCCAACCATCTCACTACTCTGTAATATGAGCAATTGACAGCATTAATATGTGAATCAAGAATGAGAAATTAAGGAATACATCCACTGACCAGATTGTTCTTTTTGTTATTGGTCATTAAGGAACATTGTAACAAGTATCTGACACTTGGCTGTTTGCCAGAATGGTTTTATATTGCTGCCATATTTATAACTTTTACCAGATCAGAAAGCTTTTGTACAGCGTACGTACGATCTCTTGCCTTTGTAGATTTCCCATGTCACCTTAGTGTTCTGTCTCCACTTTTGGATGAAAATGAGATAATGCACTTTTCTGATTCTCCATATTGTGTTGCAGTGTCTGTTCCTACTTCCATAGGTTTGCAAGTGTGAGATTTCAGAATAAGTTTCATTTTAAGTCACATTTAAACTTCATTCCCTAATTTGATATCTAGTTTCCCAGAAGTTTGTGTTCATAGACATAGTATACTAATGCTGACGTGACAATGGGTAGCTGCAATTAACACATATCACTAATATGTGAAATGGTAAGTATAGATTTCTCATGTGTGCTATGTTGTTCTAACTGACTTCATGCAGTATAGCTCTGGAGGAGCTGACGGTTGTGCAGCTGCTCCTCAGATTTTCTCCCTTTAATGGAACTTAGAGATTTCCTTTGGCCATATTCACAAGATTCCATCACTGTACCCTGTCTTGAGCCATTGAGACTTATTCTGCATTCTTGTACTTCATTTCTATAAGATCTGTTGTAATATTATCGTCCTGTTTACCCCTTTGTCTCTCAGGTGGTTTCCTCCATTCAGGTTTTTCTACTTTTTACAAATCATAACCTTAAAAAAACCGCGTATTTATTAAGGTCTTGCTGTCACACAAAATGTCATGACCTTATATTAAGTGTTACTAGAACCATCATGATAAGTGACCACTAAGAGACAGACATAGGTGGGAGGGTAGTATTAAAATGGAGCTTAGAGAAGTAGGATGGGGTCGTATGGTATGGACAGGATTTATCTGGTTCAGGATAAGGACCAAAGCATGCTCTTGTGAACATGATAATGAACCTTTGGGTCATATAAAAATCTGGGAAATTCTTGAATAGTTTACTGCCTGGAGGCTTCTCAAGAAGGACTTAGATCACTGGAGGGAGTGAGTTAGAACCATCATATTTATTGGAGATATTGTTCTGGTATAAATATGAAGAAGTATGAAGTTAGGTGAAATATATTGGTTTGCCCCAGTGAATTCTGTCCTTGTATGGAAGCATGTTGTGCACCAAGTTTTAGATATGTTCACGTTTTGTAAAATTGTTACATGTTGGAGGCCTACAATTTCTGTCTCCTTTTCTTTGCAGGGGTCGTGTAAAGCATGGACGGCATTTCACTTTCAAGTCTGTGCTAGGTGACACAGCCATTACACTTGTTGCCCCAACAGTGACAGGCACACTCGTGGATCCAGAACATCCATATGTTGCTCATGGACCATGGCTTCAGGTTCTCATTCCTGATGAACTGGCACAGGCTATGTCTGAGAGTTTTGAAGTTTTTAATAATCCAGAAGAGGTAAGTGGACGTTGTGAGTATCGGACTTCTCTTAATTTTACTGGTGTGTGGGTTACTTAATCACACTGTTTGAACTACAGATGTTGAAGTGTCAAATTGAATGTAAAAATGATCCTTAGTAGTGACTACCTTAGGATTTGGAAGGAGCCAATTAAGAAGATACCATTCTGGCATTTACCTGCAGAGTCTCAAGTGAACTGTCAAAAACCTTTGTTAGGAGTGCCAGTGACCCAATTGAGATTCAAACCAGGTATCTCACAAATGCAAGTATAAAGTGTAAGTCAAGGTGCAGTTGATATTTGGTTCTCTGTTTTCAAATAATATTTTTGGAAGAATATCAACATATTTTTTTGTTTATAAAGTCACCTGTTGGTGTAGAAAAGTTGAGGGCTCTAAAATTAGAATTCATAAAGAAACTGTCATATTAGAAGTTTTCACAAGGCACTGAACATATGTCAAGGGTTTGAGTGTCAGCTGAAATACATACTGTGTTTGTATACATGTGTGATGTAGATAGAAGGGTAATTTTTTATTGTGTGAAGGTCTAGCTTCCATTTAATTGGCTCAGGATATTGCCAAGTGACAAGCCTTTGTGAATGCTTGACGAACCATCATATTCTTAGAACAAGGGAGTGTCTGCACCAGTTGTGTAACTATCAGCTGCAATTGCTGCATCACATAGGTAATTAGAAACAGAAGTTACTCAATTTCGCAGTTCTGATCTCTTGTTTACAAGTGAAGTGAGCCCATGTGTAAATGTTGTGTTCACGAAAATGCATATGGGGACGCCAAGGTAATGCACAACTATAATATAACTGAAAGAATTTATTAACACAAAACCAGATATTGCTGCGCTTAGCATTTAAATTTCTTGCTTCAGTTTCAAAACCCCATCATATAATGTGTTGATATAGTTAGCAAATATATTTGATATCAGCAATGACTGCAGAACAGGGAGCAGCCATAACACAAGAATCCTTACAGACATCTGCAGATAACTGGTGAAATTCTGTGGTTATCATGCAAGACCAGTTCACATTAAACAGTCAGCAAGTGAGGAACCAGTTTTGAGCAACAACCAAAAAGTATGGTAGGCCATGTTCATCAGACACAAATGCAAATTTAGAACACTGTCAGAAGCGGGAGGAGTGTTAACAGTTAATGAAATGGCTACAGAAGTTGGAATAAGCTGGAGCTCAGGGCAAAGAAGTAACATGCAGTAGCAGTAAATGAAATTCTCCTTGAGAGTAGTGTCTTGCAGTTAAAACCTTAATGCACAGAACATTATGTGGAATTGCTTCCTCTGTACTGCTGTATGACCTGTGAGAGATTTGTCAAGAAGTTACTGAAGAAATGAAAATATGGTTTCTTAGGAAAAACAAACCATTTTATTTTTGAGAAATGCTGTTTTTTGTTCATTGGTGACATCAAGTCATAAGTATATACATATATACATACATACATAATTCATAAATTCACTGATACATTCTCCAAATTGGACCGGATATTGAACTCGTCAGAATAAGACTTGATTGCAGAAGTACACTCATGTCAACTGCAAACAACCACACACAACCAAAAGCACCAAATAATCACAATTTACATTTTCATATATAAAGTAATACACATTTAAGATTTTAAAAGTCAGACAGATCTGATGTACCATTTTTTTAGTCTATAGGGCAGTGGAGTTTGATATTTCTTTTGGAAACTTCTGATCTTCTGTGCATAACATGTATTGTTGTGTACAAAATTCTAGTACTGCACATAGTTTCAGCTGTAGTATATGGGTATTTATCTCACCTTGGGTTTGCCTTAAAATAAACTGTTAAGAATTAATGAAATCGCTTGTTTTTTAACCTGTTTTTTGTTAAACATACACTTTTAATATGCGATTTGAGGTTCTTATTGCAGTGCAGAGTAGTGTTGTGTGTGATGAGACATCACATAGTCTGGTAGAAGTTTACTGATACTGTGAAAGCATACTAATAAAGTTCTACCTGACTACACAGCATCACGTCTCAAAAAATAGTACCTTCTTTATATTTAATTTATATTTAATAGCTGTACCTGGCCACACGTTGCTGTGGCAGATTGAGTGAATTGTTTCCGCTCCGCGAGTACGATGACCTAAGTTTGATCTTCTGCGAGGCATTATTTGGATGAACTAAAGCAGATCGATTGCACTGAAGAAGAAGAAGAAAGAAAGTTATAACAAAAACATATAAAATTGCAAAACATTAAAAAAGGAAAGAACACGAACTGGAAAACAAAGAAACAAAAAAAAAGTAACGAAATATTTCAATTCAAACACAGATCAGTCGACACAGCTCACTCCCACCGCCAATTGCACTGAAAAATAATGAGAACAGTTAAGAAAACGAAATGAAAAACAATGAAAAATAAACTACTCACGAAATGAACGACGTATAACACGTTACAATATATTAATATTGAGTACAATTAATATTTTAACAACCAACCAACCTGTCACAGGTGTGACATATGTCACACATGATTTTAACATCATAAAGTCTTAAGATACATTTTTAGTGAGTGACATATTCTTGATGTCCTTTAAATTGTTGCATTATTTACGTGTACTCTGATAATAAGAATATGTTGCGTGTTACCTATGTAACGTTGTTGTGGTCACGTGTCTCCTATTCAGTGCGATAAATAACTTCCGCATACATCTCGGATTCAGCAAATAAGTCATTGAATGCTCACTTTTACACCAGCGAGTACAATTATTATCACGTCCAGTATCACCAAAAAACTCTTCAGAGCTGGACTATTATAACCTGGTTTCGGACGCAATGGAGGGCACTTTCGCCCAGGGTTCGATTTCACGTGTTCTGTGCTTGTTGCCACGGTTATTCCTAGGCAACGATCTGTTGGTATTCGATGGACGACAGAACACCCTGTAGAAGTGTTTGGTTTCATCCGTTGTTATGCAACGGAACCTCTTATCTTCTCATCTCCGGGGAAATGCGTTTGTTGTTTCGGCAATTCCTATGCAACGGCCCACTGTTATTGCGTTTCCATGGAAGTATACTTTGCGGTTTCATCCGTTGTTACACAACAGACCCTCTTATCCTATGCAACTGTTCTAGCGTTGCTATGGAAACGACTGCTGGATTCAGAACATGTGACATGTTTTACCTGTCACGGTTGTGACATCTATGTAATAGGTACATAAAAAACGTGCGTATTCAAATGCAACGTTGTGTCAAAATTTCAAAACATTCGGTGAAGAACTTTCGGAGATCTTCGATCAGAGACAAACGAACATTTACATTTTTATTTATATAGATGTCGGCAACAGCAGTGAAATCTTCATTTAGTAAAGTCCAGTATTAAGTGAATACTTTATCTGGTTCCTGCTTAAGCCCAATATAAACAGTGTATTATTTTCCTGTATTCAGTGAATTTTGATTCCTAAATAACTCAGCTTTAGTGTAAGAAATTACCAAGTGGTCAGAGCTTGTACTTTGACGCAATGTGACTGTGGTGGAAAGAATAATTAATATTCGTGTTTTCTACCTCGTGGAAATCATTACAAATTAATTAGATATTATTGATTATGTTATTTTGTTCGCATGTTTTGGAACAGTTTCATTAACTGGTGCTGTAAATAAATTATTTTGTCATTCTTATGTGATAATTAAGGAGCTGTTTCAAGGAAATAGTGGCTCCGGTCTAGAAAACTGAGATTAACGGCTGTGGGGATCCATTGCGCTGACCACGTGACACCCTCTATGTACAAAAGTTGGCACTAATTTCTCTGACAAGTGGCGGCTGTTCTGTCCGTATAGTTTGGTTGCGGGCTACAGGCCACTGAGTATTTGTTTTGTTGTTGTTGTCATTATGTACAGTAGTAAGTAGACAAACAGTTTCTTGATGTGATTTTGCATAACCCCCATTTAGAGAAAAATTTTGATTTAGTATAAGAAAAGACATTCCCCCCATAGATTCAGTAAATAGGGAACTCCCTGTTTGTGTATATTAGATCAATCTCCTACATTCAAGAATGCTTTAACCCCATAACTGGCACATGAATGTTAAGTGCATTGTCAAAAGCACTGAATTATTTGTCCTTATTAATGCAGGTACTAAAAATGAAAGAGTGTAACAAACATGGATCTTTTTCACTATTTACTGGCATGGTACTAAATGGTGATAAGTCTTTAACATATGCTGTATCATGTGGACCACTTTATAATTAGACCAGTCAGAAAGGTTGGATGTAAACACGGGAAGGTAAGATAAAGTTTTCCTTGTGCTTAACTACGTAATTAAGCACTATGCCATGAAGTCATATGGGGGGGATATATAGACCAGAGTTTTCTTGACCTCGGCACTAGTTGAAGGTGAGTAAATGAGGGAAGAAGTATTTTATGTTATATGTAGATCTTCTGTCTATGAGCATAAGTGTTGGCACCTTCCTTATATCAAAGAATTCATCTTGTTTGTGTGATACATGCCACATTGAAGCATTTAGAACATTATAGAAGAAACTTAAACGTGTTGAAAAATTGAGAATTGATGGGATCCCAGAATGAAATTTATGAAAATAAGCTTGAGGGATGGTGACAGATGTACAACTAATTAAAAACAGAATATGTACTTTTAATAGGTTAACTGTTCATAATGGAAAAATTGTTGATGGTTTGTTTGCATATTGTTTCAGCTAATTCTTCCAAAGACATTTGTGTGGCCAGATCATAAGATGGCCATTACGGTTGTCGAAGACAAGATATGATGTAGTGCAGTTATGTGTGACAGAGACATTAGTGTGCGAGTTTTCTGGCTGTTCAAAGCATATCACTATTCATCTTTAACCTTGATTTACAAACACATAATATTGTAACACATGTTTGTGTGCCTGTGCAATGAAACCTGTATATGAAGGTTTTATTTATTGCAGAATTTTAAAGATGTGAACCCAGAAATGACTCTTAATTCATATTATACAACAAAGAGCTTCTCAGGTCATAAATCATATCAAGATTAGAGACAGTTGTGTTTTTGAAATTAGTTCTGCCCAGCTGAAGACTACTTTATTGAAATACAACACTGTGAAAGTTTTTTCTTATATACAGTGTAGTTCATCTAATTCTGAAATTTTGAAATTTCTTTGTAAGTACTATGTAAACAGTATTAAGGTGAGTCTGTTTATATTGCAGTGGCAAATTAACAGATGTCTCCAGTGTTGGTCTTCTCTGTTGATGGTAGAAGGAGGTATGAACTATAGTTTGCTAGTAACATGGATGTAGGAACCCAAACAGATAATGAAAGAATGGATGTAAGTGTGCATACATGGAAGCAAACATGAATACTGTACATTGAGTACATACACACAAACATCTCTTCATACAAGATAAATGAAATGGCATGCTTAACCCTTTCACTGCTAGTATGTTAAGTAGCTCTCAGTACCCTCTGTGCTGAATTATTTTTGAATAAATCTTTTATAAATAATTTAAGTGCAAAGTATGAAATTTTGTGATAAAATGTAACTAATCTTACCTCAGGCAGGGAACAGTAATCAGAAGTTGCAAAAATATTGAATTATTCAGCATTTGTCACAGGGGAAAAGTCCATTTTAATCAGGGTTGTCCAAGATGACCAAAAAAGTACAAAATTCACTATCCTAGTCTTATCACATTGTCACATGTTGACCAAAATCCACAACTTTATTTAAAACTACGTATTATAGAAAATACCGTGCACTATACAAAGCCATTTCTAGCCCTGTGAATTACCCGCGTCACATGACAATGGAGCGCGTGCCTAGCTTTGCAGATGCAACCTTTTACATTTCTTAAGTTAGAGGGCAGAAGAAGGCAGCCATTGAAATGAATGATGCTTCATTACGTTCCCAATAGATCACTATGCACCCGCCAAGTTTGAATGAGATTGGTGCAAAGAAACTGAGATTTGAAACTCTAAAGTCACAATACGGGTTTTGTCGATCGCAGTAAGGATGCCATATTTTTCAGAGATCGATAAATGTCGACCGCAGCAGTGTAAGGGTTAAACAACATGCCTTTTAATAAAAGAATGTATTTAGTCAAGGTGCTTACTTGACACACGCCTGTTGTTTCCTTCAGGACAGTATCATATTAATGTGTTCATTGATGGCATATATTTGTTGCTACTTGTGAATAACCACTGTGACATGTATATATTAGTAAGTATGTAAAGTTTGCAAGATAACCTTTTTTACTTTAATGTTGTGTTGTAATTACATATGAAGAAACAAAATGTGAAGTTAAGTTTCTGTATTGTTTTGAATCGACAGAAATCCAAATTCTGGTTTAATTGGTAATTAGTTTGTGTACATTGACATTTCAGCAGCACCTCAAGGAATTCATGCACTATATTTTACATCCATCCCTGCGAGAATTGCAGAATGGTAATAAGCAAGTTGTATGACAATTATGTTGATACTGGTGGTGAAGCAAAGATATTTTTTAAGTGTCTGTATGTTTACATGTACCGTAAGGTGATATTGACCCCTAGCATTGAAATCTGTAATCTTGAGTTGTGGGAATGTATGGGAACCATTCTGTTCAATACTATTGTAGACTGTAAACAGTAACCTTCTCAGGTTGCATAGACAGCATGAGAATATTGCTTGCTGTAATTCCATGTGGTTCAGATGTCTATAAAAACTTCCATATTTCGTACTGGATTAAGATACATCTGTGTGAACAAAGCCAGTGAATATGGTATCACAGCAGATTTTAACCTTTAACAGATGACATTTAAACCTCCAGCATACTGGCTAGTTGCCTGATTTCTTAAATACCCTTAAGTGTCCGAAAAAAGTGTGTCAGAAAATAAAGTGGTTAATAACATTTTTAAAGTATAATTTTCAGATACAGTAGAAGCTTGGTTCAAATATTATGTTTCTGGACATTATCCATTGTTCTGTTTTTGTCTAAAAACACTGCCCTGTTTATGTTTCAAACCACAACATTTCAGAGACTGGATTTTGTCTCTGTCATCAGGTAAAACTATTCAGTCTGTCCCAATCAGTAGAGCTAGTTCAGAGATAAGGATTATCTCTTTATTGGGACCAACTAAGTAGGTGTTATCTGAAGATGGAAACAGAATCCAGTCTCTTAAACACTGTGTTTTGAAATACGGAGGTAAGTCAATAAGTAAGTTACAAATGGATGGATATAGAACTTAAACAAATAAGAGTACTGATTTGAAAAATGCTTTTATTTCTCAACATAATCTCCCTGTACACTGAGGCACTTGTCCCATTGTTTCACAAGCCCCTGAAAACCAGCAGCATAAAATTCTTTGGGCTGCTGTTGGAATCAGGTGTGTTCACATGGCATGGCCTACCTCATAATGCCGGACAGGTTAGGTTTTCACAAAGAGTGTGGACAATGGGTGCCGTGCATGCTGACCCCACAACACAAAATGCAAAGAATGGGCCTGGCATTACAGCATTTCAATTGCTGCTACGATGAAGGACACGATATGCTAGCCCAGATTGTTACAGGTGATGAGTACGGGTTCACCTTTACCAGCCCAAGACAAAGCGTGCATCAATGCAGTGGAAATATCCTGTGTCGCCTGCCAAAAAATGTTTAAGGTGACAGCATCCTCCAGGAAACTGATGCTCACAGTCTTCTGGGATCACGAAGGCATCTGCTCACCGCATTCCAGCCTCAAGGACAGACTGTAACATCCTCGGGAAGCTTCGTAAGGCCAATCAATGGAAGCATGCAACCTGTCATGCATTATGAGGTAGGCCATGCCTTGTGAACATGCCTGGTTCCGACAGCAGCCCAAAGAATTTTATGCTGCTGGTTTTCAAGGGGTTGTGAAACAATGGGACAAGTGCCTCAATGTACAGGGAGATTATGTTGAGAAATAAAAGCATTTTTCAAATCAGTACTTTTATTTGTTTAAGTTCTATATCCATTTGTAACTTACTTATTGACTTACCTACATATAAACAGGACAATGAATGATGTCCAGAAACATAATATTTGTACTAATATACCATTATCACAAAATTTTAGATCTTCTTTGGTAGCTTGGTTGTTGAGAATTAATACATTTACCTGTATATGAAGTTCTGAAGTACAGTCTTTATGTATGCTTTAGTTTTGCATCCTGTTGTGTTGAAAATTCTTAGTGTTCATCAGCCATCCACATAGTAGTTATTTATCCCTGAACTGACAGCATGTTTTTATCAACTAATGATCATCAGGTGGTGTGCAACTTGAAAGACTGTTGGTCACATACTGAACAATTCTTTTCACCTTTTTTGTGACAACAGTGAGTCTTGATAGATTTCTTCACATTTCAAAAATTGACCATGCTCTTGACACTAATGATTCAAACTATGACAGACTATTCAAACAAATTTTGTTTAGGGCATATACTCAGAATATTTAACACTTTTTGAATGTCTGGTTGCAGACAAAGTTATAATACTTTTGAAGGAGAGGATAATTTCCAGACACATGTGCCTAAGGGACACACATTTGGAATAAATTATGTGGCATACCTGGCTACTCATATGATACATATGTCTGCTTAGGGAATGGCAGGATGTGTGACTGCAGATATCGTAACAGCATGTGCAGCTGCAAAACAGCTGATGGAAAATGTGGAAGGACATAGACGTAAGCTATATATGAACAACTTCATTTTGTTGCCCGACTTATTCAGTGATCTGACAAAAATCAATTGTTGTGAGGTAGTCAGATCTGACAGAAAATGAATGCCACAGTGCTCTGCTTGCTGCTGCTTGTTGTTGATTTCTTGCTTGTCTTACCCTTTGACCCTAAAGATGGAGGGAGTGTGTTCCTCCAGAATGTCACTGGAGTTCTATGGGGCTTCAAGGTATTATATCCCAGAAGATAGTAGTTTTCATAGGTTCTGCTTGCTGCCTGCTTCTTGTTGATTTCTTGCTTGGTTTACTCAGTGACAGTGAAGATGGAGGCATTATGTTTACCCAAAACATGGGTGGAGTTCTACCCTCCTACACTGCATTACATACCAGAAGGTATAATCTCAGCTGTCACCTCTTACTTATTGGTTTCTTGCTTCACTTATTCTTTGAACCAGGCTGTACATTCCTCTGAAGCCAGACTACACAGCATTATATCCCAGAAGATAGTGCCCATAAAGATTTATTTTGCACATTTCCTGTAGGACATTCCTGACTAGCACCAAGGAAACCAGCTTGTAGTCTACCACACCATCTTCGGATACAATTTGAAGTCAAGGGTATAGCCAGACAGGCTGTTAAGGATTAACTCTCTGTATGTAAGGTTTTATTTTATTCATACTGATTACATATTTGTCTCTACATTTAAATCTGAATTGTTTGTTGTAGTTGAGTTTTCTTCTGAGCCCGAAGATTCAGTTTGAATTTAATTTGGGGTCTACACTTGTGCATACAAAGTTGAAACTGAAAAAAGTATCATAGTTTCACTGTGTGGAGTTAAATAGGAATGCCAGTTCTTTTTTCCCCCCCTTGGCACTACAGCCCAAGGCCTCGGCCTAACTCCATGAACTTGTCCGTTCACTTCGGTTTTTCTAGATCTTACACATTCGGTAGGACTCCTTGGGTGGGTGATCAGCTCATTGCAAGGCCTATACCTATACACAAACACAGAAAAACGCACACACACACACACACACAAACTAAACATCCATGCCCTGATTGGTATTCGAACCCACGATCCCGGTTTCCAAGCGAGCGAAGACAGTACATGTCTTAGACCGCTCAGCTACCGTGACCAGCTTGCCAGTTCTTAGCTAAATAAATTCTAAAGTGAATTATTATGTACTGAGGGATCTAAGAGATGGTCTGGAGACAGTGGTTCAGTTTCTTGGATAGATGATTTCAGTACCAAAAATAAAATCCCATATAATATAAATTTTGCAGGTTTCATCCAGTTCTCACTTGTCAGTTTAAATGAGAATGCTATTAATTGGTGAAATCTAGGTCTAGGGCAGGAATTGTTTTATTAAGCTTGATTTCTGTTGATAATTGCATTGTAGTGGTTGGTTCTTCTTCATGTTGAGGTCCTGAGTTGGAATCCTGACATGTACTGGACAATCCAAGATTCCGTAGACACAGATAAAACATTCATATTCTTGGTCATTTTAAAAAGGTGGCAGCCCTAGTTTACGATAAAAATGAAACTGTATTTCTTTCTCTTGCAGATATAATTTTGTCTATGTAACAGATACATGACCATGAGTCATGATGGTGTCGTATGCTTAACATATGCACTGGATAAGACTGACATATACTTGTAAGAGCCCTAAAAATGTGCAGCTTTTTCACAAGTAGTAGGATGCAGTATTTGAAATGGACTAAATATTGGTACCCATCAAACTGAAGATCCAATGAAAAGAAATACCGAATTTTATTTTTGAGATTACTGGGCAACTTCTTGACTGAAATATGACAATTTGTGACCTAAAATGATCAGTACTGTACAGTAAAGCAGAAGTGGAGTAGATTGTATGCATTATGGATCAAATAACAGAACTGACTGAACTTGTGTTAGCTGCACTTGATTAATCTGAAGATTCAGCTGGGAGAATTACCTTAGGGTTGGTGTGGAATGGGGAGGATTCCAGATTAACATGCACAAATTTTGAGTTTGAAGATGCAAGAAAATGAGATCTGCAGTTTAATATTTATATCCCTTATGAACTAAGATGAGTGTTGGCTTTAATGATACTAAAGATTTTCTCAGCCAATTGTGGAATTTTATAAGTGTTCAACAGCGGCCACTATCCCCTGCTGACTTCGAAATACTGGATTCCTGAATTTATTTTGTTGCTGAGAATTACATCAGGATAGTTGTCCTCTTTCACAAGAAACAATTTCTGCCAGACCACAAATCTGAAATTCCTCAACATGGGCGTCTAGAACTTCTTATTCTTTAACCCCCCAGCTCAGAAGCTAGAGCATATTTACAACTTGTCAAGCTTTAATTCTTACAAATGTCCATAATGGTTAACAGTTGAGTTCCTGTTTTACCGTATGAGCAAACTTGGTTCAAGAATGTTTGAATTAGGGACTTGATTGATTAGAAATTCTGTTTTGTGCCCAGTTCTGAAACTGTAGGAAGAACAGGGGAGATGTAATTTATTGCATTTTTAAAATTTGACTGCAACTTTTCATTTTTCATTTCTGTTAATATCTGTTGGGATGTATGCTCTAATTAGAAAATCAGTAGTAGTGTGTGGATGTAACTGGATATTATTTGGATGCTTTTATTATGCTATGTAGTAATGCCATCAGAATCCACTGAAAGGGGTCTCACTGAAGTGACCATAAAAAAATGAAAGGTAACAAATCATCAGGACATTTTGATTGTACAAGAACATTACCACACTACTTCCACAGTGTGTTACTTCAGGTATCCCTTGCACCACAGCCAGGAGAAACGTCCTGAGTAGCATGATATTAAGCAGGTGGAAATCCAATGGAGGAAGGCAGGATGACATTTCACGCATCTCAGCCTCACTCCAAGCACTGTTATCCTTATTGGAATAGTACTGATTTTTAAGAAGTAATCTAATAAGACTCTAAGCCTTACGGTACAATAGTGTGAAGTTTTCATTTTTGAAACTTGGAAGCCAAGACCTGTGGCTATTCAGAGCATGTGCTTGTATTAGTACTATATTTTGAGTAATGTTTCCTATTTATTTTTGTGTTGTAATATTCTTGTAATGTAATAAGTGTATAGTGTAATTTCATTAGATGTGAAAAGTCTGTGCCTTATATAATAAATTTTAAATTTAATATAAATTTTTATATAATTCTTAGTATTATTATATTAATTTTGTACAACATATTGTCATGTGTATGGAGTGAGTGTAGACAGGGTTTGGATTGGTAATTGGATTTATTGAACTCTTACAGATCCATGACTACAAGTAATTATAACTGTTTCACTAATTCACACACTCTGCAGTTCACTAGAGCACGCACTTAGTCTTCTCAGCCTGCTGTGTGTTCACTAGCCCTCTGGTAACAGTTTCCAATGGTGAACATTCCCCTTCCTCTGGGTTTCTGAACTGTCCCTCGCCTCAGCAACAAGCTTCTCACAGTAACAGCTCACAACAGCCGAACCTCAGCGATTATCTAATTCACTCAGAAAACGATTGATTGATTGATTGACTGACTGACTGACTCACTCCTCAGGTCAGTCAAAGTTGTGTTATGACTGACAATGAGGCAGCCAGCCTATCTTCGTATCAAACAACCATCTTGGGTCCAAGACCAGATCTTTATTACTGTCAGACCAGACAGTTGCGGGTTTGTTGATGTGGGGCACCCTCTCTGACGAGAGGACAGGTCTGTCATTTACAATTGCTGCTGACCCTTGCCAATGCAGTCTTTCTTGAGTCAGAGTCCCATGGGAGTCAAGACCACAATTTACAGTGCCAGATTTGAAACTCTGTATTTATATCTCATAAGAACAAGGTGACCTAGTTATACTCCCAGACACTGAGTTCCTATTTGGTTGACTCCTACAGCTTGCAGGTCTGCGACAGGTAGTCCTGCTTATAACATTTTGGCACAGACCATGCAGAAAACATCGTTTCTCTGTTACAGTGTGGTTGTTGCTTAGCTGTGGCATGCACAGCCATTGGCATGGACCACTCCAATAACACCATTCCTCTGTTGTTTATGGGTCACTGCTAGTAATGGCTGGCTGTTATGAGTCCACATCTCTCGCTTTGAACGAATATGCCACAATATATTTGTAGTTTGGTAATGTTATAGATATTGCAAAGGAAAGAATTTTTAGGATTTTTAAGGTTAAATAGACAAAGGAAATTTAATTTTATTATTGCACTTTAATGATCCCCATTCTTGCATTTCCCTATGCATTCCTTCATGTTTGTGGGTTATACTGCCTCTTACATCTGTGCAGATAAATACATCAATATTTTAAGAATACTGTAATTTCTATTTTCCACAGTTTCCACAACCTGAGAATTAAAATCATGCTAGTATTAATATCAGAGCATATTTATGACTGACACTTGTTTCTCGCTGATCATTTATGGAACTGAGAGACAGTAAATATTTTGGTAAAGAAAAAAGGTAAAGCTAACCCTGTAACAGGCCATGGAGGCCCACAGAGTTGTGAGATGTTGAGGCTTCCACATGTTTCTAAGACATTTGGCTCACAGATGGTGGTGAGGTTGTGAGCCTTATGTGCTGGTCACCCTTTACTCCCAGGAAGATTGTGGTACTCATTTCTGCTAGAGGCTGAGTCAACCCCAGGGCCATAGTTTGCCTGGAAGGATTAGGTCAGTTGATGTATCCACTGACCTTGTTGGGAATCGGACCCATGACCTTCTGGCTTGTAGTATTGTGCTTCAACCAACTACACTATCCTGTGCCCAAGTGAACATGGAGACTAAAACAATAGTGTGGATGGAACAAATGCAGCAACTCCACTGGCAGTCCCTGGGTAAGCCATTCAACTTTTATCTATAGCATTTGGTCACTATGAAATGTGCAATCTGGCTGTGTGCAGTATATTGCGCTACACACAGTTTAGCTGTTGTCTAGGATATAGTGTTTTGCATTGTGGTTGTAATCTTTCCAAAGAGCTCTGCTTGGAGATAATCTGGATCTGTTATGTAGAGTTCTACTTTCTTGTATGCCATATTCATTAAAAAATTCATGCATCATATATTTGGAAGTATAGGGTAAGTATTTTCCTTTTGGCCACCTGTAAAATGTATGCGTTTTATAGTCAAAGGTGTAACAAATTTTCTTCCAAAATTTTCCAACTAATATTTGGATGCTTCTTAGAATCCATAAGATATGGAAAGTTTACTGGAATCATTGACATACTTTTTTTTTCTCTGTTGTAGGTCTTGGTTTCACCGAGGTACTGTCAGCATCATTAAATTTAATATTTTTTTCTTAACTGGTAATTATAACTTATTGGTATGCCACTATACATTGCACAAATAATAAGTATTGGTTTCTTTTATGTGATTTTTAATGATTTTTTCCCATTATTTGAACAGTCTGATTTAGCTTTGGCTTATATCCTTATGACCAAGGCTTTCTTTTCTGGTGGAGTGGAGTGATGCATTGTATTGGTACATCTTTGTAGAATAAAAAGAATAATGTTTTACAAAACCCATGAATGGTATGCGAAAGTTTTATTATATCAGTTTTTTAAAAAATAATGTATTAAGTTTAATTAAATTTTCAAAAAATGTTATGCCACCCCCTCCCCTCAGTTTGTCATGTCTGAATACTGGGATTTTTCTTTATATATGTGGGGAAATCATAAAATTTTAATTATCACCCAGAAGAAACACACACAGGTGCAAGAAATTGAGAGTTAGTCCTCTACATATGCCCCCTGCAAGGTCACACTTTCCCCACGTCGCTTTTTCTTCATTTCCTCCAGTAATTTTCTCAGAAGGTTCCGGTAGTACTCGCCTATGATAGTGACGCCCTTTTGCACATAGTCAGTCATGATGACACCCCATCGATCCCAGAACACACTCAACATCGCCTTTCCTGATGATGACTGGGATTTGGCCTTCTTTGGTGGCAGAGAGTCTGCATGTTACCATTGCTTGCACATTTCGTTTGTTTCAGTGTCATAATGATAGACCCAACATTCATCCATCATGATCAGGTGGTCATGGATGATGTTGAAAACCAACCCATTGCTAATGTGGACCTCACGAACAATAGCTTCGATAGTTATGCGCCTATCGGATAGGATCAAAGCTTCCACCTGTGCCACAGTTACCGGTTCCTCAGCGAGAGATTGTCTTCCACTTTGGGGTCCATCTTCGAGGTTTGTCTGTCCACAATGAAAGTGCCTCTTCCAACTGACCACTGTACACCTTCCTGATACACAGCAGTCATCTGGTCATGAATCTCCCTGGCAGACTTCCCTTGCAAATGCAGGAACTGTATCACAGCATGAGCCTCCACTTTCTCATCCGATGTCATTTTTATTCTGCCCCTTTCGGTGGCTCCCTCTCTCCACTTGACACAGGAAACTTTGACTGTTCGGCAAGCTCAGGAAACGATATTTTGGAATTATGATTTTCTCATGGTGATAATTAAAACATTATGACTTCCCATCGTCAAATATTTACACATGCAAGGCCAGATAAAATTGAAAATATCTAATCAGGTAATGCTGTGACTACCAGTTTCTTTTCATGTTTTGTTATAGAATTTAATATTAACTTTCCAAGACAAGTTTTTGATGAGCTTCCTCAGTTCCTCCAGATAAAAGTATTGGATGGTATCTCAATTAGGCCACAGGTGCTTTCTCAGAATCCTTTCCAGTTCATCAGTCTTCCTACCATTTGGCACCATATAGGCTAGATACTGACAGTGTTGTAAAATAAACCACAAAAAAACTGTGCATGCAACTGAGAATTCATCATTTTCATTTTATTACCCTAGAATTCTAGATTCAAATTAAGGTGCTTTGTTATACGGTTCATTAGGGAATTGTACAACGTGTACCCCAACATTCATACATTTAACAGTAAATAAGGTGATCAAATTAATTTTAGTGTAATTTTATTGCAACCAACACAAATTATGGACATGTTGGTGTCAGTACAATGAAAAATCGTGTAATTGACATTCATTATACAGTAAGTTTGTCACAGAGGCATTTTCCAGTCAGGCTCATTTCATGAGTTCCTAAGTATAACAAAATCTTGAACAGAATCACCTTTCCAAATAACAGCTGTGACTTAGAATTAGGCAATTTGTGCAACATTTTCATAAAAGACACTTTACTACATTAGGTTACAAAAGTTATTGATTGTTGGATTTCTTTCAATCATGTAAATCTGGGCAGCTGATTAATAAGAGTGTACTTGAAATGAAATAGTTGATGTCTTAAACATCCCAGAAGTTATGGCTGTAGAACCATGAAAATGGTTAGTGATAGTATGGCTGATTAATTAATATTTTCTGTGATTACAAAACAACAGGAAACCAGATTGCTATAACCAGATATGGCTTTTCAGTGTTGTTATCCAACAAGTTTAAAATAAATTTCTTCCAATGTCAGTAGTTCTTTTTACCTCAACCATTTCTCCATGTAAGAAGGTACTGATTCTTTTTGTTGCTTGTTTCTTAAATTCAGAATTCCATAAGTTTTGTAAAAATGTATGGAGAAGAGATGAAAGTCATTGTGAGGAGAAATAGGTTATGATTACTGCCAGATCATGCAACATACATGGGACAAAAATGTAACTCTGTAGTAAAAGCAAGTTTAGCATTTTATTTTGTTATTACAGAATTGCTCTTTTATATGGTTTCAGTAGATCTGTGAGTGATAACGTAAATTTGGATGTATCTTACACAGTTTTCAGTGCCTGAGACTGTATCTGTCATGTTTCCTAAAGAACTGACACTCATTAAGAATGAAATAAGTAGGAAATTCAGGTCCGATTTATCTTCTGTTCACTGTGCTGAAGGTACTGCTTTCCAAATATTAAACTACAGTTTCTTGATTTGCATTTTTATGATAAAGTTGCTGTTGCCATGCATATGTAAAGATGTAAAGTTCATTTTTTTAAGTCAGGCTCTAACAACATATGAATCAAAGTCTGTACAAATGTATAACAGGCATATTTTGAGCCTACTATTATACGGAAAAGTCATATCACATTAATTATGGTAATGAAAAGTCTGTACAAGTCACCTATATTTTGCACCTCTGAGTGGGGTAATGTTTGTAGATATTCTCTGGTTTTACAATACAGTTTGTTTATGGCATATATAGGTATAGGTATATAACTAAATATATTGTGGTATTGTGATTAGTACTCCTGCTTCTTGTTTGAGATGTCTTGGATTCAATTCGTGTCTGAGGACTTTTGAGGATTTCCTCAGCCACTTAAAATTAATTCTGGGATATCATCTTGTTTGAGAATACATCAGTATGTAGTGTATTATATCATGTGCATAGTTTATCCTTCAGGGTGAAATGTGCCTGGCAATGGTATGCTTGTCATATTAGTTGGCTTTGCTGTGGTAGCACTTCGTATTGTACTGTCAGTGTATTCTAACATAATGAGTCACTGTTGCTTGTATTTTTTAGTTTCTTTTCATAAGAATAACTAGTAGACTTATGAGATTGCAGTGCTATGTGTCCGTGTTTGTGTCTGTTGATTTGTGTGTCTTCTTTTCACCTTTTGAATTAAGTAACCGATTTCACATAACTTGATACGAATGTTATGCCAGTGGAGGTCAACCCAGCATCACATTTTAATTTCCTGCAGTCAGCTGTAAGAATATGAATGCATGTACCTGTTTTGTTAAGGTGTATTCCTTAAGTGTGGAAAACACAATGACAGTCATGAAAACATTTTCATTAACTTTCATTTTGATGGCGTTAACTATTGAATCATTTGAAATGGGCATGTGAAATTGGTATTAAGATGCAATTCAAACATGGTGATTGTGTGAACCTTTGAAATTGTATGAGAAAAAAATTGATATAAACAGAATCTGAAGCATAATTTAATCGCACATATTGTATAAAATGATGATGATGATGGTAATGGTAATTAATAGTAGGAGATTTGGAGGACTAGACTAGACGTCTTTGTAATGTGAAAGTGGGCTATATGAGTTCTCCTCAAGACTCATTTATCTTTTAATTTATGGTACAACAAAAATTGTTTCCAATATTGCAACAAATATTACAGTTGCACACATACTAGAATATTTATGCAGCATTTACCATGTTTTTGAATGTAAATGTCTACCCCAATCTGGAATAAGACTGAATGGTTTATAGCTGATAAGCATTAGAGCTGAGTTGCTGTAAATCTAATTATAAATGTTAATATTAGGTAATGTTTTTATTTATGCAAATAATATTGACATATAACTTCAACTAAATTGTGTATTTGGAAGTAGGGGACATCAGATTTGTTACTCTAACCATTTCTTCTAGAATCAAGGTTTTTTTTAAAAATTGAATGACAGGAACGTGATCTGGGTGATAGGAGTTTGATACTTGACAGGGGAAGAGGTTATATTATTTTTGCTACCCTGTCCAGACTGGATTTGAGGTTCATGCAGCCTCCAACCAAACAGGTACCTGCATATGGTTCTCTGGGATAGAACAGCCTGGTTATAAAGCTGATCCCTCAGCTGCATATGCAGAGGTTAAGAATGTATGCAGCACACCTCCAGTCCTCTATTGTGTTCTTAATTGAGAAGGAGAGCTTAACTTTACTTTTAACCAGTTCTTCAACAAAAGTATTCTTATAAGATTGGAAAAATACTTTATAGTGGTTCATTCAACTGCAAAAGCAGCAGCTCATGATCACTTGAAAACAGTATTTTATTTTCTAAAAAATAATGCCTCATCTGCCATTTCATTAGTTTGTACTGCCACATCTGTGATTAAAATGATGTTACATTCATAAATTCATTATGGTAGGGTGTCTTCTACCTTATATGTGAACATGCATGTGAGACTAACACTTTGTAGAGCCCATATGCATAAGTTTAAACCTGTACAAGAGATAATGCATACTCATAAGAGTGTTTGAAAAACAAAATGCTTCCAAGTTATAAACTAATGAGGTCTGAAACATTGTTACACAGTGAACAATATTACAAACATGTAGTAAACAAATAACAATTTTATTCCCATTGATTTTCAAGAAATTTATATACTAATGCAACCATGGAATTTCTTAGAAAATAAACCAGCATAGTTAGAACAGTTAAATTTGTAGACATGTGAGTATTACAGTGAACCAGCCAGCAGTAATAGCCATACAGGGTAAACAGAAGACAGATGAGAGAAATGGAAAGCTATGTGCATAACAGGGAAGAAATTAACTCGTTCATTGGAAGGTCTAAGACAAATGAATATGAAAATGTGTCAACAAAAATGCGTATTTTTTGTTAATGGTTGTCTAAAAAAACAGCAAGCAAATACCAAAAAAGCCTCTTTGAGACTTTCAGGAATATCAGTACTGTCATACAAAACACGAGGAGGCGTCATTCAGATTCATGTGGGCTTGTGACAGAGATTGGCGTAACGCATTAGAGACATGTGAGAGCAGACTCTGTACAAAACAGAAGTGGGCCTAAAAGATTTACAGATAATGATTAAATTCTGAGTGATGACATGGCATCACCTGTTCAATGACAGCATACTGATTTGTCATGCAAGGATACAAAGAAGTTGTCTCCTCCACAGAACTGTCTTTAGACATGTCTGATAACTCGTCAGTGGACAGTGGAAGCGAGGCCATTGTTTTCAATGGAAGCAGGAGCATGGGGTGTCAGACTGTTTATCTGAGAAGCTTGGACAGAACTGTATGTTGTGGGCATGGTCAAGTATCTACTGACCATAAAGCTGCCTGGCTCTGAGTTAAGGCATTCAGAAGAGAGGCTTGCCACATGTGAAATGGAGCAGCAGACAGGCAGGGCATCAAGTCATGTCAACAAGATCCACAGTGCACCTGGTGACAGGCTGATATTTGATAGGAGTGATGATCCTGACAGAAACTGTCATTGTGTTAGCACAAGCAGGATGTGCATGAGTGTCAGGAAGTGAGACCTTAAACTGATTACATAACAAGAAGTTCTGGGAAGAACTAATGAACCACATGAAAAGTGAAATTAGGGAGGATACACAGGCAGCGAGGTTATCTCATAAGACTCTTTTTATTTTTTTTTTAAATAAGGAAAGTAAGTTAAAAATTAAAGTAATGTCCATGAAGGCAAGGCAGAGGTCTGATGAAGCAGTAAGTGATCCTTTGAATCTCCTTGCCTTCTACCAGAGAGGGGCCATCCCGAAGTATCTTAAAGACATTTATTTCATGAGGCATTGCAAAAGAAGGCAGAGCAGCATGAGCATGATGCACTTGACCTGGCTGGTCTACCAGGAAATTTTACCTTGTAAGGATAAGGCAGGAAGGAAGCTCTCACAGTGTTCAAGGAAAGTTTTGCAGACTTGGTTCAGAAGCTGAACATGATGCCTGTCAGGACAAGACACACTGAAGATGTGCAGAGTGCCTGATTCATATTCTAGCACCAAGTTCTGTTTATAAATTACATTACACTTCACATCCTGAAAATTCTTGCCCATCTGTTGGGAGTGGGAAGCAACATTGAATTTCACTCGAATGATTGTTGTAAGTTCTCACAAAGAGTTTATACATTGTGTTAAATCATTTAACAAATGGTACATGTTCATAGGGATATGTCACTGGATTTTATTCAAGTCCGAAACCTTCTGCATTTGAGATGGCAATGATAAGCTTCTGTCGTAGCAAGTCCTCATTCTCATATAACGGTAGCACCAGCTGATTGAAGCATGTATGGGCTTCTGGGAGATTGTCAGGCTTGTTGGTGACTTTTGTGATTTTGAATGTCATCTCTCCCATGCCACCTACTGGGACACGATCACTTCCAGTTGCGAACAGCAGGAACTTTTTCTTCAGTTCATCTGAGAGTGAATGCAACACTTCCCAGAAGTCTCTGTGTGGACCACAACAAACTATTTTAAATCTTATATCCTAGGTCTTAGATTTAAAAAAGAAAACCATAAAATAATTACACAAATTTTGTTGAGTTGCTAAGACTTTCAGTTAACTGTTAACACTGTTCTGTGAAATAGGCCCTTGTTTGTCTATTAAAAGTATGAGGTGCTGTATTTTATCAATAATGTTCATGTATATTTATAAATGTTAAGATATTGAAGTCATAGACCTTTGCAATATATGAATGAGTAGTTTGAGGATGGCTGAATAAAAATTCAGCATTAATGATCAGGAAAATATAGTGACATATGGGAACTAATAAAAGAACAAAATTATTTTAGTAAGTTAGAACTTTTGTAATTCAATTGCCGTTCACTATCGGGTGCTTAGAATAATGTTTTTATTTAAGGTTATATAATTTATTCCATGAAATCTACAAGTGCCAAGATAACACATTTGCCGAATTTACCTTATCTCTTGATATTGATGTATACTGATATGTATTGGTATGCTGACTTTTTTACATCACACAGATTTACTTTACTTTTACTTTACTTTATTTATTGCATTCTGTCAATCCATATAAGGTCAAACCAACCTATTGGATATAGAATCTGTCATGTTTAAGGACAAAATAATAAAATATACATATATAAGCATGTTTCAACACAAGATAATAAAATATACATTCCTATACCAAAATACAAACACTGATACAGTTGTAGTAGATACATAACCTATGTAATTATATTATCTGTAGGAGAGATAATCAAGACAAAGTGTTCATTGAGAAGTTGATTTATAATATTCATCAATACTATAAAAACATGTTCAGTGAGATAGCTTTTTAATAAAAATTTGAATTCTTTAATATCTTTGGATAGCAATTTAATGATTGAGGGTAAGTGGTTATAAATCTTGCTACCCGAGAAAAGCACTCCTTTTTGAACTATTGATAGATTTGTGATTATAAATTGTGATTATAATATGTGTTGATATCATGAATATCAGTATTAGCTATAAAATAATTTCTGTTCTTAACGACAAAAAGAAGTAAGGAGAAAATGTACTGAGACTGAAGTGGCAATATTTGTAATTTTTTAAACAATCCGTGGCATGAATCCAGTCTTCCTGAACCAGATATAGCTCTTATTATTCTTTTTTGAATTTTGAAGATACTCTCATTATGAGGGACATTACCCCAAAAGATAATACCATATGACAGTAAAGAATGTACATAGGAATAATAGATCATCCTCATTGATTCTAGTGACATAAATGGCTTTATTGCATAAGAAGCCTTATTTAACCTTAATGATAAATTCATAATATGGTTCTTCCAAGATAAGGTACTATCCACATTTATTCCCAAGAATTTAGTACAATTGATATTTGTAATAATTGAATTATTAGATATTATTTGCAATTCTATTTCCCTGTGCATTTTTAGAAAGAATTGTATAAGGTGTGATTTATCACAATTTAATGTTAGAAAGTTACTATTAAACCACATAATTGTTTCGTTCAGAACTAATTTGATATTACTTTTAAATTCTTCAGGATTCGTGTTTGATATGATAATACTTGTATTGTCAGCAGATAATAGTGGATTACCTATTTTCTTAACGGATAATGGGAAATCATTTATGTAAATAAGGAACAGTAAAGGCCCCATTATAGAGCCTTGTGGAACTCCATATTCAACTAGTTCCCATTTTGAAAACACTATTAAGTTCGATATCTTTCATTTACAATATTATACTTAAGCATCCTGTTGCACTCTACATGATAAATGATACAAACTCCGTCCCAAGTGCAAACAATATATATTATCTGTCTTTGATCTTGTTCTCTTCCACACTACATGTTTCGGCCTCTATCGGCCATCATCAGGTGTATACTCTTAACGTTGCTGCTACACTGAACCCAGTCTAAAATTTAACATTTAAAAACACATTGTTATTTTCTTCGTATTATCAACATCTACCTCGTTGATATGTGTCTGGTATGTAGATTATATTGCACACGTCAAATTTGATTTTCCTGTAGTAGCACTATAAAATCTTTAGTTATGATTTTAAAATCCTTTAAAATTTCTCTAAATTTTAAATTTAAAATTTAAAATTGTTAGGGTTACTCGCCCTATGTCTAAAGTGCTGGAGCGGCTAGGTCTTGTTTCCACACTGTACAGGTGTTATCTGTAATATACATANTTTAAATGTTAAATTTTAGACTGGGTTCAGTGTAGCAGCAACGTTAAGAGTATACACCTGATGATGGCCGATAGAGGCCGAAACATGTAGTGTGGAAGAGAACAAGATCAAAGACACATAATATATATTGTTTGCACTTGGGACGGAGTTTGTATCATTTCATTTACATTTCATTACAAGGTAATGTGTCTTGAGTATGGTTACATGTTTAAATATGGATATATAGGGTTATGAAAATCAGGACAGCCTGTTAAAGTTTTTTCACCTGCATGAAAGATTTCTTATGATATAACCTCTAAAGTACTTTTCGCTTATTTGCATATTTTACCTGACTGGGTGAGGGGAGATAAAAGGGATGGTCGCTGAACCACCCCAGCCTGTGACCACTGATGATATCTGTGGTGCACAAGGGACCGACACTATATAGTGAATTTCTTGATCTTTGGAGAATTTGTTCTCTCACCATCCATAACCACTTATGCTCCTAAGGTCAGTTAATTTTCCACTCATTGCTTTACCACAATATCATTGCACACTCACTTTACTCACCTCTTTGCTTGACTTCTCTGGTGTCAACGAACTGAGAGCTGACCGATTGCTCACTCACCCACCGACTAGCTGAATACTTACAGACCCACTAGCTGACTAACTGCCTCATTTGTCTAACTGTGCTGCACTGCAACTGAAATAATTTCTTGCGTGTGCTATGCTCCTACTTCATAAGCATGATCACCGAGCAAGAAGGCTCTAGTTAGTCCTAGTGACCTTGGCCCTATGTGTCAGTTGAGTGGTTTCCACATTCTCACAGAAGATGCAAAGAGTGATGCACAGGTCAGAGGACAGGACCCCCCTCCCACCCCTTGCTCAGCTCCCATGACAATATGTAGGGCCACTTCATTGGAATTTTGACACTTTCTAAAAGTTGAATTATCAAATAATCCCAGTTTTTAGTTTTGGTGCTTAAGTAAAAGTAACCTTTTAATAGTCCCATGAACAAATTACTTGTTTCTGTTGACATCATAGAAGTCATTTTAGAAAGCTTGGTGCATAATGAAGAGATGCAGGATTGCTAAAGGGTGTGGAATCACCAACATATTGTAACGTGTCTGGAATCCAGAAGTCACTTCTATGGAAACGCTAGAACAGACCGTTGCATAAGAAGTAACAATAGCAATACTGTAATTCCAACAGTGAGCCGTTGTATCGAGAACATCGAATCTCCACGGTTACGACAAACAAGCGTAGCGTTCCCACAGAGACAACGCAATAACAATGGGTCATTGCGTAGGAAATGCTGAACAAACAAAGCAACGTCTCCATGGTTATAACAGAGGGTCCATTTGCCTAGTAGCGGCGAGGTTATAAATAGCCCAGCTTCAGCGAGAAACAGTCAGTCTCGGAAGAGCCAGCTAAGAAGTCAGTCGTGACCGAGCCTCCAGAGAAGAAAGTCTTCGTCGAGCTGTCTAAGAAGAGAGTCCAGTGTCGGCCGGAATATTGTAAGCAGTGATTGTAACACTGCACGTGCAAATGTTTGTAAAGTGTGTGTAAGTGAGCGAAAGGAATAAATTCGCTATACCAAAGGACGGCGTGAACTTATTTATAGCGTGACAGACAACCAAACACGCTACAATATTATTGTGATTGTGATGTAACATACTTACATGATGATGGGATCATCAGCCTTGTAACCATCATATTCTGTGACTTTCCTGAGCTCATTGAGATCTAGTGTGGGTGAGCCACAGACTAGCATCTCTACTTCTTCTGGTCTCAGCATCTGATTCACAGAAAGACAGTACTGTAGTACCAGGTAACAGGTCTGTACAGTGAAGTGCAGGGCAAACCAGATTTTCCTTTATAATGTCAGATTTAAGCATAAATTTTATTTTTTTTTTTTTAGAATTGACTTCAAACATAAATCACTGCCATTGTTGATTGTGTCTTAATTAACAGGAAATCATAGTTAACCTGCTGGTACCTGTATCGGCATATTACACTTTTTCACTGTAAGCTTTCTGTCACCAACATTAGTGTACTGCAGTCCACCAAACTACTTCCTCAGGAATACTGATAAGGATATTTTAAATCTGATGCATCCAGATATGAAGTGAGGGCTTCCTATTGATATTCAGAAATACCTATTTTGTGACTTTTTTCTTTAGTTTATTTCTGGCAGAAAAATATAGTTATGCCTATTTGCTTCTCGTCACAATAATTCATATATATTGTGACGTGTATACCCATTGCTAGGCAATGGGTCAGTAAATACATTCCCACAACACAAGCACATGTGACAATAGAAGGACATTCATTGCTAGTTAATGGCCCAGTAAATACCAATCCCTAACAATAGAAGACAGTGTTTGCCGAGGAGTTATAAAAGGGCAGTCAGAGGACACAAAGTAGTAGTGAACAGTTGTCATGAAGTGAAGTAGTCAAGAAGCAGATTTGAGAATTGGGTCTAGTTCTTGAGATGGCAGATGAAGATGGTTGAGAAGAAATAGCAAGAAAGGAATTAGGCCATGACAAGAAGACTTCACATGTAATTTGAAGTTACAGTGAGACTCTTGTAAATCCATTGCCAGGATACGGCTAGTGAAGACAGAATCTTAATGCGTGCGCAACGGTGAACTGGAAAGTGTGTAAAATAGCAGTAGCGCTGTATTGCCTGTAGCCCCAAACTCTGTAAATATGTAAGGTGCAATAAATCCAATCATCCAGTCTGAAAGCGATCTTATAAGCCACGCAACAACCCCTCAGATCATGACAGTATTTTTAAATTTACACACGTAAGATATAAAATATATGAATGGTACAGCAACTAGAAATGACTGTTATACTTGTGTTTGATGTATAAGTTATGTTATGATTTTTTGTCCTCTCATTGCATTTGACTTCATAATATACTACAAAGAGCTCTGGATAACTTTGATCATTAATGTACAGAATTTACCTCTTAAATATGGTAAACATTACCATAAATAGCATAAAAAAAGGTTAATCTTGTCAATGTTTTGTAGGAAATAACTTACTTACGGGCATTATTAACTGATATTTTGTTTAACAATACTGTACTACAGCCATTTGATATTATTAATGGAGATTAGTGTATATGAAAGGTGGATTGCTACAGTGAATGATGAGATGGAAGGGAAGATGACAGTAAACCTCCCACAATTCTACTCATTACAAATTGCAAATGAAATTACCAGGTTTTGAGCTGATGTGCTTTGTGGGTCATGACAGTGATTTTTTTGTGTCAGCAATACTTCTTTATACTTACAATAAGAGCATTTGATGCACAGACACTGTGGAAGCCAAGATAAAAGGCTCGAAACTGTTCGTATATAGCAGCATTCAGTATCCAGTCCAAGTAGAGTTCAACATATTCATTCCGGTTGTCATTGGTCACAGGAATATTTTCTCCATTGTCTCTCAGTTTATATGTCTTTACATCACCGTATTCCTCCAGTGACACCTGATAATACATGAACATATTAAGCATGTTTTATTTGTTGACTCCAGTACATTGGCAGAGTAGTTTCTTTGCATAGTCACATATTTCAAACAAGATTATTGTTAAGAAAGTCGTCTTCTGGGTTTAGGCACCGTGTATTCTTCGTTTTGGCCGACGTTTCGGAGTAACGTATCGCCTCCATCCTCAGAGCAGGTGAATGGCTTAGAATGCAGAGAGCAGTAGCAGGTGGACCAATCGCTTGGCCCACTAGGTCGCCAGATTTAACCCCAGTGGATTTTTTCTTGTGGGGTTATGTGAAGAACATTGTCTACCAGGTTAAGATCAATGACCTTCAACACCACAAACGCCCACATAAGGGACGCTGTGTCTATGGTAACATCAAACATGCTGAATCGTCTGGATATTTGTCGTGCCACCAAGGGAGCGCACGTTGAAATTTATTGAGAAAGTTATATATGTAGAAAAAACTTTGATAGTTTCCCTTTGTAATGGTGTAACCTATTAATATGTGTAATAAATTCTTTCTGAGATATAATGATTTTATTTTGGATACCTTTCATCTGGACACACTGTACATCCTAAATAGAAGTCTACAACAGTACTACAATGACAACCTTCATGTTACTGTTGTATAGTGACCTTGTCTCAAATACATAATAGTAAATGTTTTTTCTCTCTGTTAATTAAAGAACTGTTTTGGAAAAGTAATATGAAAATGCTGGTGTCATATTCTTGATAATGTGAAAATTTTTTGAAACAGTTTACTTTTATTTTGCTTGTTGCAATTCTGTATTTTTCTGGAGTCCTTGTCTTTTGAAATTGTTTGAATGTTAAGAAAGTATCAATGTTAAACCTTGAAAGATTGACTAATGTACATTTGTTTAATTCAAATATATATAAATACTGACCTGAAAGTTCATACACATATCTTCTTCTACATTACCCTCATATGCTAGCAATTCTGTTAGCCCTCTGGAAACATCCTGGAAGAGGAACATTTTTTGTACCACTATTCTGAAATATTGAATTTTTATCCTCATAATTTGTTGTCTTCTTCATTGCTAGATGTAGGTACATTTCTAATCTACAATGTTTCTCAGCTGTCTCTGCCTGTAAGAATTCTGAGTAGAAACTACTCTTATCACCAGAAAAGTAAAATAATTCCTGCGTGTTGTGAAACTTAATAGAAGACCTCAGAAAAATTGTGGTTCTCATGCTGGTGGTTTCTAATAAAAAGGTATAGCTCTATCTGTAACAGGCCATGAAGTCCTATAGTGTTGTGAGGCGTCAAGGCTTCCACATCTTTTGGACAATTGGCTCATGAATGGCGGTAAGGTTGTCAGTCTTATGCTCTGGCCACCCTTTACCCTCCAGGAAGATTCCTGGTGCTCATTTCCATTAGAGGATGACTCAACCCCAGGCCCGTATTACAGCCGGAAGGATTAGGTAAATTGAAAAAAATCCAGTGACCTCATTGGGAATCGAACCCATGACCTTCCAGCTTGTAGCATAGTGCCTCAACCAACTACTCTACTGTGTGCCCCCAGGGTTTTCAAATAAAGATTTATGTTTCTGTGGTGTATGATAGCGGTCTGTAATTTAGCAGAAAAACTTTGAAATATGAAGAAAAATCTAGTTAACCTGAGAGATTTCCATCACAAATTAAATGCCTAGCAATTAATCGAATAAATCTTCGAGTTTTATTTTGTGAACTTGTGAGTACAGACAGTTTAAAACTGGTGAAATTGATGCTGATTTTTAGTTAATGTTTCATTTTGATGTCAATACTGACACACTTGTGGAATGCAGAATTTGTATGTGCACAAAGGTAACTGCTTACCCACTGATATATTGGGTTTTTGGACCTTATCCATCGTCCTGGTTTTTAAGATAACAAATAAAAACACGACGTTTCGGAAACTGGATCTGTTTCCATCCTCAGGTGAAGGAAAACACCTATTCTGTTGGGTCCGTTAGAAAGAGCTAGCCTTATCTTAAAAACCAGGACGATGGATAAAGTCCAAAAACCCAATATATCAGTGTGTTATGCACCATCGTCAGAATCCTATAGTATCTACTTGTAACTGCTTACCGTTTGAATGTACTGATGTGGAAAATAGTGTTATTTTCTGTATTTTATGAATGGCTGATGTGGAATTTCTCTCCAGTTGTTTCTATTGGAATCTTTTCCATCAGTCTTTTGCTAGGCCACTTACAGGCCTCCCTCTGCATTGAGGTTAATAATTTGGTAAAAATTTTTATTTCTATTTGTACTTATCAGTTTTTTAAATATAAATAACCATGTGTTAGTCACATTTTCCTGTAATTACATTAGGTACATAATATGGGTACATAATATGGTACATAATAGGTACATAATAATTAAATAATTTTATAGTGTTCTCTCAACTTAAAATTTTGATAACACTTGTTTGATAATTTCTAGTGTGTGTCTGGTTGGCATTGTGTGAAGTATAATCACTATAAGAGGAGGCCAGATTCATATGCTGCATGCATGCCCCAGGAATATCATTGTGGAAGTTGTCTATAGTTATGGTCTTTTAAGATTTCTGGCTTCTGTTTGTATGGAAAGACTGAAAGAACCTGCATATGGGACAGAAGAACTTATAGTGTGGGACTTCATTTGTTCCTAATAATAAGAGATGTCATGAGTATTGTTGCTGTCAGAGGTGACCCACAACTTAAGGGAACTGTGATACACATTGGGGGTAACATACCTAACAGGCACAGATTTCAGACTTTGAAGAAGTCATGGTTAGGGAAGGATGCCTAAAAATCCACAGCAAGTCTTGTCAGTCTTGAGACACATATCTTTATTATATGAGTCCAGCATCTTATATGCTAGACCACAATACAAACAATATGAGACATTCACAACTTACTGGCATGATCTCAGCTAAGTCGTCCACAGTAGGCGTATTGACAGATCCAACATCGGCTGTGTCCACATCAGGCACCACAGGAGGGGACAGAAGCTTCCGGTAGCAAATAGAGGGGAAGTGCAGGTCCAGGATAATAGAATTGTAGACAGCCAGCCCCATGAGCACTCCGATGAGGTTGTACTCACGCAGATTCCCCTCCTGGTCAGTACTGAACCAATAGCAGCGAGAGTGGGGATGGTAGACAAACATACCATAGTCTGGATGGAAGATCTGCCGGATAAGAAGAAGGAACCACTCTTTGGTCAGCCCCCCCATGTCCAACCCTGGTTCCCCTACAAAGGATACTTTCAACTTCTTCTTGAGATCTTTCTGCTTACTCGCAATCTGAAAGGAATTATGGCTGCACATTATATGCTCTGGCTCTTATGATGTAGATCAATTGAGTGGGTGATAAAATCTTCATGGTGCTTAGTTACTAAATAATTATTATTCTGTGGAATGAAGTTACGGAATTATGTGACCCATGTCTGACTAGAAGCAAACGCAGTTTAGAACTGAGAAGATTATGGGGCACAAATCATAACACTGTTCACTCACTTCATTGAGTGAGTCTGAGACAAGGTGAGAGCGCCTGACGTGAATGTTGAGGAAGAAAATGTCGATCTGTGGGGCTTGGTGGCGGGCCACTTTGGCTACCAGTGAACGCCGTGCCGTGAGAATCATTTGTTGTTCTGAATCCTGCAACAGAGATCATATTTTACTTAATAATACTATATCATCTTCAAATAGAATAGAGGATAAAGAAGTCATCGCTTGTTTTAATTCTATGACGAGCAGGGGAACTAAGTAAAAACACAGGAACTCCATGTCACTACAGCTGGTGTCCCAGGTGAGGCTTAAACCTAGTATATTTTGGACACAAGAGACCCTCATTACCATTTGAGCTAATTTATTCATGCAATAAATATCATGGTTTGTTTTTGTGATGTTAATTTTTGATGACTCAACAGCTAAACTCGTGCAGCACTGAAAGATTGAAAACAGTGTTGTGAAGAATGGCAAAGGGAACTTTTATGTTTGTCATTTAATGACACAGTCCATATATACAATTTATGTGGTGGAGGCAAAGGGAACGTTAATCGTTAATGGTTTGTTGCTATTTGGTCTTTGTCATCGTGAGAACTGAGGAAATTTATGCAAACTCTGGCCAAGATAGCTGGTGTTTCAGGTGACTTCAGTAAGGCAGTTCACCTACTTGAAGCTATTTGTAAGCAGCAAAGTTCATGGGGCATGCTGACATCGTGTATAATTCTAGCCTATTGAGCTAATATTTAAGCCATTTTTTAAAAACTGTTATGTGTCGTGTTAGATATGGCCAGTTACACTTTGTTGTTGTTCAGATTGTTTCCATTCTTCTGGCTTAGATTCTGCAGGCAACATAATTTAAATTTCTTTCTTTGATCTTTAATTTTGAAAATTTTCCATCAAACTCAGATTTATGCTGTTTTAACGCATAATAACCTAAACTCTTGGTTGAAATTTTGATGCTCTAATACTTTCTCAGGCCATCCTGATGTCTAAACTATCATCCATATGTTCTGAAGTTGCAAATTTGTCTGAGATGTTAACATGTTTTAATTCTTCATCTTTCACTTTGTTCAGCTTCTTGGGATACATGTCCTGGCTGTTTGAATATGATTGACCCAGTTGTGTGTTTTCCACCTGAAGAGGTACAAGTGCATTGTTTTATATATACCAAAGTTTATTGCTTTAATCCCATTATCTTACGATTTATGAAAACTTTTGTTCCCAGTTGTCAGTTTAAAAACAACATCTGCTTCTGTTTTTGCATAGGAATATTGTAACAAATCTGCTGTCCAAAGACATAAAAATTAGAATATACAAAACTATAATTTTGCCTGTGGTTCTGTATGGGTCTGAAACTTGGTCTCTGACATTAAGGGAGGAACATAGACTGAGGGTGTTTCAGAACAGGGTGTTGAGGAGAATATTTGGACCGAAGAGGGATGAAGTGAAAGGAGGTTGGAGAAAACTGCAGAATGAGGAGCTTCATAACTTGTACTCCAAGTATAATTAGAATGATCAAGTCAAAGGGGATGAGGCAGGCAGGGCATGTAGCATGAAGGGGGGATATGAGGAATGCGCATAGGATATTTGTGGGAAAGCCAGAAGGAAAGAGACCACTGGGAAGACCAACGTGTAGGTGAGTGAACAGTATTGAAATTGATCTTAGAGGGATGGTATTGATTGGATTGATCTGGCTCATGATATGGACCAGTGGACCTTTGCAGTTTAATGCATTAGGCACTGAATGCGTGGATTACCTTCGTGAGTATGATTCTCTTGGCCACTATGCTCAGGATGAAGGGATACTGACAGTAGGAAAACTGGCCAGGCCGCTGAGGACTCTGCCAGTTGAAGTAGTCCTGCATGAGATCCATGTGGTCCAGGGCAGAATTGTAGAACTCTGTGTAATCGAGTAACGGCGGAGTGCTGGAATTGTTTGCGGCATCTAAATAGAGAGAAAACTTCAGTCAGTGCGTATATTTGCTTCTTATTTTTTCGTTGCATGAAGTATACAAAATGAATGTATTAAGGAGAAATTACTTCTGTGTATTAGGACGTTGATGTTCAAATGTCATCTGCAAAAATTGAATTTCAGTCGAATTTGATACTGACTATCTACGCTAAATACTATCAAGTGAATGTCATTTTGGCCTTCATTGGTCCAAAATAAATCCTATTTTACATGAAGCTCAAATATCACAAGGGTGGAAGGTTGTGTTAGGCTACTTCCAGAAGGCACAGATTAATAGATACATCTCATGCTCAAAACATCATCAAAATCAAAGATCTTCCAAAATAGTCCACCACTGGGAACTGTAGCTAGAGATTACTTTGAGAGGCCAACAAAATAATAGTTCTCACAAAGAGAAGAAACATACCATGTCTCTTAAGGAACCCGAAGGTTCATTACCGTGTTCACCACGGCCTGTCTCTTGACTCTATCCTGAACCACACAAATTCAGCCGACATTATTACAGTACGTCTGTTTGAGACCAATCTTATTATTAGCATTACATCCATACTGGAATCCTCCAAGTTCTTTCATGTTACTTAGGTGGCGCCAAAGCATTCTTCCATAACTGAGTGCCTCCACCCCCCCTCCAACTACTCCCCCAAGCTGATTTCCACGACTTATTCAATGTATCTGAGCTATTTCTGTATTCACAGGCCGTCCTCTCCAATCATAAGCTGAGGACATGCCATGTTATGGTAACAGGATATACAAGTAACACTTCTTCAGGTCTGTATTGTTTCGGAGCTTGGGTGTGTTTGAATATTCAGGTGACTAGTTTTCGTTATACTGACAGAATATTTATTCATATTGCCCCTGTTTTGATGTCAAACTTCGCTAATAGTCTTATAATAAAAGGCAATGTGAAGCTTCTCAGTGAAAAGACACGCAACAACCTGAAGACGAAAGTAAAGCCAACTCACAATACGTCAAAAAATGTACATTGTTCAACATAATATCAGTGCAAATTTCTCGGAGAAGTTGCAGTTACACTCACTGATAAGAGCCAAAGTTTTGGTTCCAGTTGGTATCCACCAGCGGCTCTTGCTTAGCGGAGGCAGCGACTTGTCCGCCGGAGGGAACTGTCTTATTGTGATGAACTGTATCACATGACGAACAATCATACGCAGCTTCTCCACTTCCAGTCTGCGATGCAAAACAAATTTATGTTAGCTGACCAAGACTGCTCAGTATTTCGGTGGTCTCTAGGAGAGCTCATGAACATTGTCACAGGCAGGAGAAGCAAACAGCAAACAGGCTTCGATTAAAAACAAGACAATGCTGGTGCAAAGAATGTGTCGAATTTTCACGTTGAGAAAATTCACCAATAGGAAAGAGTCGTTAAACTAAGAAGCTGGCAATGAAAGAAGAACGTGACCAGTGAGGGATGCAACAATGCGTTTTGAAACTGTGTGTGTTGTAAACTGAAGTAACACAATCTCCACTCTTCCTTCATATAGGGAAATAACTGCCCTATAGTCTGGTTCATTTGTAACATAATGCAAATTGAGAGATTAATTACTGTATTGAATTATTTTGAATATTCGAATACAACTTATTAAAATACTCATATCTTCGTGCTATTTTTCTTCTTGAGAGAGGGTTATGTTACACATTGTTAACTTAATTTCTTGCCCACCCTACTGGTCACAAGCCTTCAGTTACTTACTTACTTACTTACTTAGGGAGCTGAGCCCTTCTTGAGGAGAAGCCAAATCTGCAGCTACTCAAGAACTTCCCAGCATTTTAAGGAACCCGAAGGTTCATTACCATGTTCACAAGAGCCCTCCACTGATCCATATCATGAACCAGATCAAGCCAATCAATACCATCCCATCCTATCTCTCTAAGATCAATTTTAATATGGTTCACCTACCTACGCCTTGGTCTTCCCAGTGGTCTCCTTCCTTCTGGCTATCCTACCAATATCCTATACGCATTCCTCGTATCTCCCCTTCGTGCTACATGCCCTGCCCACCTCATCCTCCTTCACTTGATCATTCTAATTATACTTGGAGAAGAGTACAAGTTATGAAGCTCCTCATTATGCAGTTTTCTCCAACCTTCTGTCACTTCATTCTTCTTCAGTCCAAATATTCTCAACACCCTGATCTCAAACACCCTTAGTCTATGTTCCTCCCTTAATGTCACAGACCAAGTTCACACCCATACAGAACTGCAGGCAAAATTATAGTTTTGTATATTCTGTTTTTTATGTTTTTGCACAACAGATGAGAAGACAAAAGGTTCTTGACTGAATGGTAGCAAGCATTACCCCGAATTGAATCTCCGTTTGTTATAGTCATTCCCAAATACCTGAACTGTGTCACATTCTCAAAACATCTGTTAGCTATCTTTATGTCATGATTTTGCCCTGCAATTTGTTGACAAGACAGCAACATATACTTAGTTTTCTCTGTGTTTACTTCTAGACCAACCTCCTTACTAGTGTCAATTAAAGTTTGTGTGTTTTTCTTTATGGTATCTACATTATCACCCAGCATATTCAAATCATCGGCGTAGACCAACAGCTGATGTGTCCCGTTTAGTTTTGGTCCCACCTGGTTTCCCTGAACCTTTCTAATTGCATATTCTAAAACAAAGTTGAAAAGGAGCGGCGATAAAGCATCTTCTTGTCTTAGACCATTCTGGATAGGAAATTTATCAGACAAATGTTTATAATATATGGACTTTACTATAAGTTTCGTTTAAACACATTTTAATCAAGCTAACTAGTTTCATGGGTACCCCAAACTCTATCAGAATATTGTACAATACTTCCCTCCTAACCGAATCATAGGCTCTCTTGAAATCTATGGATAACTGATGTACTGTCTCATCGTACTCCCATTTTTTCTCCAATATCTGATGACTGTAACAGTTCTGATCTGTAGTTGATCTGTTACATCGAAACCCACACTGATGATCCCCAGTAATTTCATCTATATATGGACTTAACCTTGAGAGAAGAGTATTGGACAAAATTTCATATGAAGTTGATAGCAGTGATATCCCCCGATAATTACTACAGTCAGTTTTATCACCCTTCTTGTGAATTGGTAAAATAATAGATTCCTTCCACTGATCAGACAATTTTTCCATATGCCAAATAGAAGTAATTAGCTTATGGATCTTAGAATGTAATATTTAGCCTCCTGCTTGAACAAGTTCCGCTGGAATTTGATCACCACCTGGCGATTTATACCTTTTAAATTTTGCAATAGCAATTTCAACCTCAAAAGGGCTGGGATCAGGTACTAAAGGCTTAGCTGTGTGCATTTCTATCTGCCTAACATCACTGACCCTATGTACATTCAATAACTGAGAGAAGTAGTTCCTCCACCTATTCAAAATGTTGTGGGAATCTGCAAGCAGATCACCATTCTCATCCTTCACTAAGTTACTGCTAGGCCGGTAACCCCTCTTAAAGTCATTTATTGCTCTATACAGGTCTGTAATGTTCTTGTTCTTACTGTTCATTACAAGCTCATCAATTTTCTCTTTTCAGTTATTAAAGGAGCATATTTTTGACGTTTCAAATCCAACCGACGTACAGAGTAACATGGTTCCTGCTGCTGTTATTTAGAACAGATTCACAGCAAAACGACTTTCGTGTAACTCTTTCAGTGTTAGTGAACTCACGGTATCTGACATGACGCCATGGCCGATATAAACTTTAACCCTGGGTTACGAGATGATTGTGCCCTTCTGCTCCGTTTCAGAGCAGTAAGACACTGTTTATCCAAATTATAGGGAATTTCGAATTAGTGAGGTTTCACTGTATTCCAAATTAAGGTGAATGAATAGCTCGTTTCTGACTATTACAATGCGAGGGATTAATAGAAGTTGTAATTAGATCCCTAAAACAATTTGCGATTCCAAAACTGCGGACGGTGACTCGGAGGCAAAAGGGGGCAAGAGTGAAGCTACTGATCATTGAGGTACAGCCTTTGGAAACCGAACCAGGCCGTCCGAGTTGAGTGTTTTAAGAGGACAGTAATATCAGTTTTTCCTAAGCAAAACTATGCCGTGCTGTCGAGTCTACTTAGACCAGTTTTTTTTTCTGTAACCAAACCTATTTTTTTATATTTTTAGACATGATTTTTGTTTGTGTTAATGACGTTGCCATGACGTCCTGGGCGACAACTCGTCAATACTATGACGTGCAACACAGCATTTATCGACCTGATGAAAGTCGGTTAGTGCGTCACTCGTTTTACATGCCGTAACTCAGACTGTACTTCATTTGGCGCTCGAATGTTCCCTCTGCTTCCAAAGCATCATACATTATACAAAGAGCTCTGGGAAGAACTAATCGCCTACCTTTCTTTGATACGACACGGACCGCATAGAAAACAACGCCTCCAGCACATCTTCGTTCCCGCTGGAACGTGTTTAGCGAACCGTTGCATAGCAACACTAGATGGACACAGACAGAACCACAGACTCTCCCTTGATACGACAAGGACCGTATATAAAACGACGCCTTCAACAATTCTTCTGTTGTTGCATATATTCTTTGCTGCGGGAAGGTTTTTATCGAGCCGTTGCCTGGCAACTACGAGTGGATACACATACGGACACACTGACTGTTGGAAGAGTTTATGAATTATGCAGTTGAGATGGGTTCAGGTGCATGATATACATACCAAGTTTCAGAAAAATTGGTTCAGTCAATGAGTTGATGGGGGAGGTTAAACAGGCACAAAGACTGAAAGATAGATTCTGAAGGGTTCTGACGACGGCGTGTAGCACTCAGGAGTACTGGGGTTTCGAACTTTGTCCATCGTCAGGTATTTTAAAATTTAGAAAATACATCTTTGCGGAAAGTGGACCTGTATCTATCCTCAGGTGAGGCGGGAGACACCTACTCTGTTAGGTCCCTTAGAAATAGCAACTTCAATCCAGTGATCACTACAAACATATACCAGTGCAATGAATACACATATTTTAATTTCCATGAGTGGTCAGCAACGCTTCTGAGCAGGACACATGGCAGCAGACCAATCAGTAAGTGCTCTCACTTGTTCGATACACTGGGATTTTGTGCTGTACTGCTGCAAGTAGGCATACATTACTGCTTTGACACCCGTTCCAAATTAACGGGCCGGAAGCCTCCAATTTGTTCTAATTATATACATGACGCATTTGCGCATGAAAATCCCATAGCACTTCATAAATACTTGGCACGGAAATTACTATTAAGCACACGTGTAATATCCATGATAGCGCAGCCGGTATAACGACTGGCTACGAGCTGGACGACCGAGGTGTCGGAATTCGAGTCCCGGAAAAAAGTAAAGTTATCCCTGTGCTTAACTAATTAAACAGTACGCCATGAAGGCGTATGACGTAGTGGATGTATAGACAAACGTTTTCTTGACCTCGACACTAGTTGGAAGTGATTGGTGAGCTTCATGTCCCTGCCGCTTTAACCGCGAGGAAAGGGACCACGGTACCCATTGGACTGAAGGTTGGGCGGACCCCAGAGCGGTCTGGGCGATTTGGAGCAGAGAAAATTTTTAACCCTACCGGGACTACAACTCCGACCCCTCGGTCGTCCATCCCATAGCCAGTCGCTATACCGATCAAGCTATCCCGGCTCCCCCATGTCCCGATAGGGTCAAGACTTTTCTTTTCACCAGCCTCCTACCCAATAAGTAACGGGGCTCTTTCCCCAGGGCGTGAAGCTGACCACTCACCCCCAACTAGTGCCGAGGTCAAGAACAAGTGGGTGTACATGTCTACTCGCCCAGACGTCTTCATAGCGTAGTGCTCAATTATTTAAGCACAGGGACGACTTTAATTTTTACACGCGCAATATTCGTAATGTCCTCATGTCACAGTTTTCGAATGCAATCAGTATTACACTACTTCCGCATCTTATCAACAATACGTGCAGTAACCGTTCTGAATTCGCTGTGCATCTGAAGTCACTATCCGATGTGAAGGGGATGGGTACGACGCGTCGGGACGCTCATAGACCGGATTGTCTTCATTCCAATTCTGAAGGCAGTAGACCTTCAAGTTAGGGCGACATCGATAGCCAATTGATGGCCGTATTTGAGATAGGTGCAAGTTTTTGATCTCGAGGAAATAATGTTCTTGTGATGGAAAGACAAATTGTTAGATACCGCTCTGAGGCGACCAGCAGCTGCAGGTCTTACACAAGCCATGTGATTGCTTCAGCCGTTGAACAATACAAGATTTTGTTTTTTTACGGAATTTATTTCATTAAAATTTGATAGAAATCGTTCGTAGGCGAAAGAAATTGGCAGAATGGATAGTTGGCTGCTTAAACTTGATCATATCAGTGTAGATAACTGTATTGCTTAAGTCAATCAAGTGATCCAGTCACTTCTGATTACGGAATTCACTGGTCAATAAACAAATATTGACTCGCCGCTCAAGAGAGCTCTGTAGTTACAAGATGGCTAGTGACTGAGGTACTCGAGTAAGAAGCGGAGTCATTTAGCTGGTCAGATGTTAAATATTTACATAGAAAAGTAAGAAGTTGACAGAACCACGTGTTTTATTTTAATAGTTGATTCCAGTGCCTTCATCTAGTCCTGCGAGTCATAGGAGGCGACGCAAAGGGAAGTTACAGTAGCTGGTGACCCAATTTAGACTCGAACCGAGCACTTCCCGAATGCAATCTACAGCATTACTTCTAGACTTACCTGTTCTGTTTATCTTCTTTCAGCTACTCGACCAAAATTTGACTGAAGCGACTGAGGAAAACCGTCGTAGACCTGTCAGTATAGCAACCCAGGTCGAAAATCTAGAACGGGACCTCCCGATTCCGAAGTGAGAGAACTAGTCATTACACCATAATATTATCCGTTGTTGACATTGTCGTTAAATTACGAACAGATGGACGCTAGCGACTGAGATTTTAAGAGCTGCATCTGTCGAAAACTGCTGATGATCTCCGTAATTTCTACTCTTTAACAGATATTAATTGGCTTATCATTTTAAGGTGGAAATTAATGCAGAATTTTAGCCAGAAAATCTGATAGAGATTACTTGGGAGACAATGGCAAAGATGAAAGGATAATACGTGTATTAACATGGATCTCAAAGTCATATGGTAGGAGAGTGTAGAATAGATTCATATAGTTCATGGTAGATACCAGCGCCGATATTGAACCTTCGGGTTCTATAAAGGCAGGAAGTTACTATTATGACTGTAAGACAGCCAGTTAGGCAGTCAGCACACTTACATCTTGAACCAGCTGACGAGGAGCTGATGGTCAGCGCTGGGCAGGCTCACGATCTGCCGCAGCAAGTGCGCGAAAATCGTGTAGGAGGACTGGGCAGCGAACACGGGGTTCTGCACCAACACGAACAGCGCTCTCACATCGTCCTTGGCGTACAGTCTGACAGAGAGAAAACAAACTCACCCTGAAGAAGTGCAACTTGATGTGCTGAAACAGCTCTTAACTTACAAATTAGGTCTCCATTTTGTTGCAATAAACTTTTGCTTAAAATCAAGCAGATTTCAATTTCCAATTGAGATTTAATCACTGTGGTTGAGCCGAGACAGTTTTAACTTGCAAATTTTGATCTCCATTTTTGATAGCTTTAGCTTTTACCCTGTCACGGCGTCCAAGTCATTCTGGATTGTGCACCCTTTGTCACTGCACTATAGAAAGTAACATTTGTACAAGGTAAACGGAGGTTTCCTGTTAAGGCAGGTTTGTGCAGCAGGTTATGCCTTAACTTATCCAGTTACTCTGATATTGCAGTTAGTCAGCTGAACGGTTGTAGACCTGACCGCAGCCAACTTGAAGCCGCTAACTAATTCTGCTTATAACATTTTGGCACCGACTGTGTAGAAAATATATCTTCCCTTATTGCTGTATGCCCTTGTTGCCGTGGAAACATGACTGTCTGCGGAGCCGTTACTTAGCATTGGCTGTTGTATAATTGCTTGTTTCGCGGTCATTGCCTAGCAAACCTTTTACTCGTATTTATGTAATGTTTTCCAAGTGACTTCTTCGCATTAAGTTTTCAGCTCAAATTTTAGTGACCCTCCAGCTCTTTAAGTGGACGTGGGGCTAACAGCTCCTCATAGCAAAGAATACTCCAAGGTGTGATTAAATCTGTCACAGCGTTGCCATGTTTCCGTCAAGCAACTTGATCCGTTAATAAAGGAATATCAACTTTCAGAATTGTGCCTTGTTTATATTCCCTGGTTCTGTCTGTCGTTGCCACGCTCACTACCGTCGAGACCAGTAAGCATCTGCTGCTTTTGTGACCAATGTTTATAACTAGTTATAATTAATTGCATATAAGGAATTATTGGATCCATTGATTGAGGCTAGCTCTTTCTAAGGGACCCAACAGAATAGGTGTTTTCCCTCACCTGAGGACGGACACAGATGCAGTTTCCGAAACGTCGTGTTTATCTTAGTTATCTTAAAACCAGGACGATGGATAAAGTCCGAATACCCAATATCTCTGTGTGTTATACACCATCGTCAGAATCCTATAGTAACTAAGGAATTATAAGTTTCGGAGAAATATTGTGTTTGTATTTTGCAGAATCTCGGTATGTGGATGCTTTTCGACACGTCACAAGTTATGTAAAGGAATATACATAGGAACATGTTAATGCCAACTGTGCCACGTTAAATTTCTGCTCATGACAGCTTATACAGCTGCAGAATTCTGGCGATTTCCGTTACTGGAAATGGGAGTTCATGAAAACCTTAGAAAAGAAATTTCATCTGATCCGAGACTCGCAAATGCGACAAATTACGAAATCCGTATAACTAGTTCGAGATTACAACTTTCACCATATGCTCTTTCAATTACGTGTAGAATACTCGTATATACCGAAGGTGCTAGCAATGAAATCTTGATTGAGAACTAAAATTAATATTTAAATTTAATAGTAGACTTAAGGGATTAACAGTGACGTCCTAATTTGGAAGATGTATTTTATAATTTTAAGGGAAAGATGAAGGGCTAATGATCAGGTATTCATTTTGTTTTGAAGCTGGAGACTGTTTCAATTCAACCACTGAGTGTAATATGGCGCACGTCTTGCTACCCAGATATGTTTAAGAAAATTGAATGTTGCGATGTTTATCGAAATTACGGCATTTATTAACACCAACAATAACTGGGACTCAAGTTCCCTGAGCGTAAAATATTTCCTGAATACATTAAAACAACAGGAGCTGCTCTATTTGAAGTTTGATGTACAAGCGTGTATTCAGGCAGTTGTTGGCTGTGTTCCATTAGGAGATACTGACAATATTGTTTGGAAAAACATTCACTCCAACTTTGTTCTTACGGAGGAAGACATTTCGTAAGCGTATTATGTTGTCATAAGTACTCAGGCGTTTCAAATTAATTGTCAGACACTTACATTCTCTTTTCCTCCAGCAGTGCGTTGATGATGGATTTCAACACTGTCTTGTGGATTATGGACGGCTGGAACAGAATAATTAGGAAAACAAAATAAATTCCTGCTCCAAGGTATACTGAAGACTGTTTTAATTCATTTGGCAAATAACCTGAATTATAAATTTTATGTTAATTGGTCTCAACTATCTTACGTTTAGACACAACATTTTAACGATTAAAACTGTGCTGTCTGTAGACATAAACTGGATATTACACCTGGAATTATAGAGAAATCCCAAGAAAAATGTTGAAACAGTAGAACAAAATAGGAACTTGATCGGAAATGGACAGTTTGCGCAGTATCTTTTTCTTTTCTTCCTTGGCGCTACAGCCCCAGTGGGCCTAGGCCTACCTCCATGAACTTCTCCGTTCACTTCGGTTTTTCTAGATCTTACACATACGGTAGGACTCCTTGGGCGGGTGATCAGCTCGTCGCAAGGCCTCTACCTGTACACAAACACAAAAAAAAACGCACACACACAAACTAAACATCCATGCCCTTAGTGGGATTCGAACCCACGATCCCGGTTTCCAAACGAGTGAAGACAGTACATGCCTTAGACCACTCGGATACCGTGACCGGCTTGCGCAGTATCTGCTGATATAAAATTCTGCGAACAGATAGTTCATTGCAAGTAAAAACTGAGGTCTCATAGAAATGTCTTATGAGCGAAAATTTATACTTTATAAACCACAGAATTAGTCTAAGTTTGTTATGTGAAAAAATTCAACAAAATTTACGTGAAATTATTTTTCTGAAAAAAAAATTACACCTGCTTCTAGATCCGAACGTTGTAAAGGATTTGAAAGAAGCTGGTACTTACGTACTAACGTAATTCAACGCTGAAAGAGTTACATATTTGTACTGAACGTTATGAGTAGGAAGTTGGTTATGTTTGTTGTATATAATTTTACAAAATGGAAGTAAGAACCATATTCCTTTCCGTAAGTAACCAAAGTAATTCATTGCCGGTTTGTTACATGCTGAAAATCATAGGGTAGTCCGTTTGATTTTCGCTTGAGGAATCACCAGTACCTCTGTTATTTATTGCCAAGACTCTCATAATGCACGGAGAGTAGGTGGACAACTGAAGTCACGTTCAACTCACCATTTCCCTGAGTGTGTCATGCACTGCGTACAAGAACTCCATGTTCAGACCCGGTTCCTCCGGTTTCGCGCCTTCCTCCTCCACGTCGACCTGGAGCAGGACGGACCACAGAGTTCGGGTCTGTTAGTTGTGTAGAGCCTGTGGTTGTGTGACATGGTTTCGCGCCCTAACCGAACAACATAGATTGAGGCTGCTCTATGACGAAGCGGAAAAATAAGAAAATTTGGACCCAACTTGGGAAGTAACATCAGAACGGAGAAAACTGCGTAACAAGGAACCTCTCAATTTGTAGCTAGACTTCGTCCAATACTATTAGAGAAATGAAATTAAGAAGATGAGGTAGGCGAGACGTGTAGCACACATGGGAGATATGTGATACTAATTCCATGAAGGAGCAGAGTTATACTTAAAATACTAATAGTCGCTCAGCTAGTCAAGGAATTCCCTGTTCTTTACGTAACCCGAAAGTACACTGCCGTGTTCATACGAACTTGCCATATCCTGTGCCAGATCAATCCAGTCCGCACTGTGACACCCCACTTCTTCGAAGTTTATATAATATTATTCTCCCATCACACGTAGATTTACCTACTGAAATCATATATAGACACAACTTTTTGTGGGAAACCTAAAATAGAATATAGTTTCTCATGCGGTAGAATAATTTTAAAACGGAACTTCTGGACTGGGCTAATCTCTCCCTGAAGGGAATCCAGTGCGTGCTGTTATAAACCCAGTAAAAAATCTTTGGGGTTCATAATAGACGGGGCACATCTTCACTAACTGAACGAATGCTGACTAATTTGCCCAGAAATATTCATATTGCAGCGTGTAGTGCCGTTGCTATGTAACGGTCGCGAGATGGGCGGATATACCAGGACGGTTTCTGGGCAACTGCGCCGTAAACACAGACAGCATATACTTAGTAAGGCAACAGTTGGAATACAACAATGAAAAAATTCAGAACCGAGAAAGACTGCACTGGCAAGGGCCAGCAGCATATACAAACGGCAGACCAGTCCTCTTCTCAGAGAGGGCGCCCCAAAAAACAAGACCGTAAATGCCAAAGAGTAATAAATATCTGGTCATGAGCCCCAGGTGGGGTTCGACACCAAGACTTACTGACTGACTGACCGTCAGTCGCAATGTGACTTGTGCTTGGACTTGGGCCTTAACCAAGCCTGTGTGAAGGCAGGGTCGAATACCTCCACCGTGACCCTGCGAGTTGTAGGAGGCCAAGAAAAGGGAAATCTCAAATCGGAGACAGACTGAAGTGATAAGGGCCAGCAGCATATACAGAAGGGAGACTCGTCCTCTCTACAGAGAGGGCGCCCCACACAAAAACAAGACCATAACTGTCAAACAATAATAAATACCTGGTCATGAGCACGGGGCTCGACACCAAGACTTACTGACTGAGTGACCGTCAGTCGCAATGTGACTTTGACTTTGACTTTTAACTTAGTCAATTGAGAATTCCGTTCTGTACGGGAGTCTGTGAAGAGAGGACTTGAGCCGGGGGCAGAGGAATATCCATTGTTGGAGCCGTTACCGGGAAGCGTCTAGTAAGAGACTGAAAACTGAAATAGCGACAATGTTATTGTTACGACCTGTAAGTGGTCAGTAAATCTAGTCACCATTCCAAACCCCGTCTATAGTCACACATATTACTAGACAATGTTTTGCCGAAGTAAGCGTACTTTAACAGGTATCCCATTAATGAAGTTAGTAGAAATTTTCAGAATGAGGAAATTTTTTCGTAAACATTCCTGCTTCTGTGTAAGACTTGAGGTTCTGACAGCGGTGGTTATGAAGAATGCTCTCCTCTGGGATATAACGTAGTGTAGTACGTTGAAAGTCAAACGACGTTTCGGAGGAACATATCGCCTCAATCTTCAGCAAGAAAGCAGCGTGAAAGCAGGTTTAAGCAGAAATTCCTCCGAAACGTTGGTTAACGTCGGTATATTCCTGCTGCTGTTTTGTTACTTTTAGTTAGTGGTTTTTTTCCTTGGCACTACAGCCCCAGTGGGCCTAGGCCTACCTCCATGAACTTCTCCGTTCACTTCGGTTTTTCTAGATCTTACACATACGGTAGGACTCCTTGGGCGGGTGATCAGCTCGTCGCAAGGCCTCTACCTGTATACATACACAGGAAAACGCAGACACACACTAAACATCCATGCCCTGAGTGGGATTCGAACCCACGGTCCCGGCTTCCAACCGAGCGAAGACAGTTCATGCCTTAGACCACTCGGCTACCGTGACCGGCAGTTAGTATTTCAGTTCATTTTATTTTCATCGTATAAGAATCTAATAGAAAATTTATTATTTGTTTTCAGAATCAGTATGAAGTCCGTACGTATGTGGAGGCTACATTGCGCAGTGTTTCTGTATGTACAGACATGTCGTGCATTTAATTACGTTTACACTTATACGTCAGCAGCCACCAGTAAAGCTGTCACCCACGCGCTTCAGTTGTTCTGCGCCATGTTGGCGTAGACGCTACCAGCATAATAATTTTAATTAGTGGTTGTTGACATGTAATGTTTGTACTTATGCACTAAACATCATTACCCCAATGAGAAGAGCTGCGATATTGGCCGCCGCAATTAAGCACTTTGCAATCTGGACTTTACTGTGTTGCAGCATAAAGTTGAGACATGTTTCTAATGAAACTACATTGGCGTTTATTCTATATATAATTAAATTTTATCTTGAGAACGGAAGGGTAATTTCACTCCACTTAACGATCCCTGCTTTCAGTAAGAGTGAATGACAGTTGGAACCGGTCTGACATGCATTACACATAATTTACTACGACAACTTTGTTTATCTGTACTTTTTTTCAAATTGAGTTATGGAAATCGATTGAAAACCTTGTTTAAATTGGCAGTAGGTGCTAAGAAGTTCAGCTGTGACCAGCTGCTAGTCACAACAATAGTTTTATGTAGCCTTCAAACAGTGTATAGAGAAATGAGATGTGACTCACTCATGGAGCGGAGCCCTTCTTGAGAAGCCGCCAATTGTGCAGCTACTCAAGAACTTCCTAGATTTTTATGGAACCCGAAAGTTCATTACCGTGTTCACAAGAGTCCTCCACTGGTCCCTATCCTGAGCCAGATCATTCCAGTCCATACCATCCCATCCTATTTCTCTAAGATCCATTCTAATATTGTCCACTCACCTACGTCTTGGTCTCCCTAATGGTCTCTTTCCTTCCGGATTTCCCACCAGTATCCTATATGCATTCCTCTTCACTCCATTCGTGCTACATTCCCTGCCAATCTCATCCTCCTGACTTCATCATTATAATTATACTTGGAGAAGAGTACAAGTCATGAAGTTCCTCATTATGTAGTTTTCTCCAACCTCCCGTCACTTCATCTCTCTTCGCTCCAAATATTCTCCTCAACACCCTGTTCTCAAACACCCTCAGTCTATATGCACCGAGATGTGAATATATTCATAAAATTGTAGGTTATAAAACAGTTTTCATTTTAATTTCTCACGCTTTTTCACCTTGTAGTAATCTCCAATGGTTTGTAGTATCAACCTGCTCCGATAAGGCAGGTTCTTGTATTAGGAGACTGTTTCATATTCTACGGATTTACTCGTGGATTAAGTTTCATATTTTACATATTTTCTCTTCCGTCTATAATACAAAACTATATAACACAACTATAATATAGTACAACACACTTAATTTAAATGACAGCAAACTTATATCAAACTCACTGAAATGTCAGCTAAAATGTTCCTAAAATGTCATTAATATATATTTTATGTCTGGCTACATGTTTCAGACTCACAGGGCCATCTTCAGGCATTTTGATGGTACCTACTGCAATGGGCTCGCTTATGGCAATAGTACTTGGTGGTGTACGTTGTAATTTCTCTCGATTTTGGTGTTTTGAGAATGTCTGCTCTTTTTCCATCTTTGTATTGCGGCTTCTCCGGCCCCTTTGTGTGTGCCGCTCCACGGGTCGTGTACCTTGTATTGATTTGGGGTTCCTTGTATTTCTCCATATTTTAATTTTTATATGGTCCGACTTGAAATATAAATTAAAATAACAAATTTTACAAATTTATACTTATTTGCTATGTTTTTAATTTGTTTTATAACTTTCTTATAATTTTAACCTGATGATGATCATTAGTGAACCAAACATATCGTGTAACTATTCAAGTCATAGAGAAACAAAGTTTGTATGACGGTGCACAATGACAGTTCCTTCTCATCTTTACACAAGCAAGACCCAAGATCATGATCACACTAGCGTAAGCCAACCTGATGAAGCTGTGCAGGAGTGGGCAGGCGGATGCACAGTTGTCTCAGAATTGTGATAATTAAAATAATTGAAGAAAATTTAAAATTTCAAAATTTCGGAACAAAATTTAGAATATTTTAGGAATTTAAAAAATTAAAAAATTTAAAATCTATACAAAATTTGAAATTAAAACAAATTGAAAAATGGAGATATTCTAAAATTACACAGTGTTACAAATTTTCGAGCATTAATACGCTTAAAAATGAAAATTTAAAATTTTTCGACCTCCTAAAAATTGAAAAATATTTGAGGAATTTCAATACTTCAATTTTGAATATTTTAGAAAATTTCGAGGTAAAATGCAAAACCTTCAACGCGGAGGTGCACATGACGATCTGGTGTGCCGACCTACAGGTGGATGCCCAGTTTTCTGGTGCTCAAACCTAACCTAACCTAACCCAGAGCCATAAAGTGTGGTCAGCCTTTGCCCGAGTACGCAGTGTATGCTGATATGTTTAGGCATTGATTATAATACTTACTTACTCATGCAGCTGAGCCTTTCTGGAGGAGCCACCAAATCTGCAGCTACTCAAGAATTTCGCAGCATTTTATGGAACCCGAAGGTCCATTACCCTCTTCACAAGGGTCATCCACTGGTCCCTTTTTATTATTTATTGTCTGATTTTATATACAGCTCTAGGCTATCGTACGAGGAATATACGGAAAGTAAAGATACAAGCCCAGTAAAAATGCAAGTTTTTTTTCTCAGAAATGGCAGTGCTGCCGTGTGAGATAGGGACCCTATGAGTGGAAGGCCACCCATTGTTACTGATGAAATCATCAAAAGAATGATGAAAACATTCGTGCTGACAGACGTTAAACCATCGATGAACTTCATCAACAATGTCCAGAAGTGTCAAGAACTGTTCTCCATGGCTAAGAGAGCAGACGACAACTTCTACGACGCTGGGAATAAAAAGCTCTTTCCCAGGCTCACTAAGTGCATTGCGACCCATGGTGATTATGTTGAAAAGTAAATAAAGGTGTGTTGTAAAAATGCTACAAGTGAATCCCCCCCCCCAAATGCTTTACAAATATTTTCTGGACTTTGTATCTTTACTTCCGGATATTTTTCGTATCTCCTAAACAGTGATAGAAACCATACATTCCTTACGTTTATACCTAGATTTCTCACCGTCTGTCTCATTACTGATCCTTGATTTCACTGTCTATGATCACATGGATTCACCTAGAATTCTTTTAGAAGTTAACAGTTTTTCACCGAGTCACAAATGGCCCACCTTTTGTGATACCCGTAGACTCATTACTGTGTTAAGAAGAAACCGCCACTGGACCCTTTTCTGAGCTACATGAAAGAAGTCCGTGAAATATAACTCATTTCTGTTATGATCAATTTGAGAATTTTGGAAAATTCCGGCTCTCAGCTGCTCTCGTTGCTGGTTACAGGGAATTGTGACTTTTGACTGGCTTTCAATGACATACCAAATTTCGTGAAAATCAGCTGATTTGAAAGTTGAAAAAGAGGGCAATTTACTCATACGTACGTTGTCTAAAATATTACAACCTCACAAGTTTTCTTCCGTCTCATCCAGCTCTAGGAAACCACTATGTAGTAATAGAAATACACAAAAGTAATTAAAGATAGAAAAATGTAGATATAATATTGGATCTATTAATTAAGACTTGTTACTTATATACATATTATAAAGTTGTCATTGCTTGCTCAATATGCACAAGTTGGTACGTATAGGCATATAAGGTAAAACGGCCTGTGGCTTATCATGGCTAATACGTGCATTACTCTCGCATGTGTACCTGGACATCTGAGGCGATCCCTTTCCTGCAGGATTTCAAAATAAATTATGCATTTCGGATCTTTCCCATGAAACGAAATATTAATACTCTATAATGAATTTTGGAAATAAACTATGGTCCATCTAAATGTTTCCAATTATATGCAATTATATTAATTACGAGTCTATAAAGTTTCGTCGTTGTCCGAAATAAATTAATTTTAACAGTCACTGTATTTATAACTGTTAAGACTCACAAAGATGGTGGAAGCTAAATTTATGTTTGTGATTTACAAGTTAAATTAAATTAGTAAGTTTAACATTCCTAGTTTCAATGCTGTATTACTTATCACTACGAAACATAAGCTTTTATAAATTTTGCTCTACAGCCATTTGCTTAAATTGCATTTTAAAGAAGAGTTCCTAAATCATTTTTACATTTTTTTAAATTGCAGGAACATATATTAACGGGTCCTCATTCCCGCATTAACAGTTCCGTCATGTTGGTATAAATAGTGGGGGGGGGGAATTTATAAAACCGAAAGTGGGTTGGTGTTTATATGATGCTCCATGAAAAGTCATCCATTGATTCAAATAGCAGAGGAAATAGACACAGTTTTAACTGTTCTTAAGAAATAAGTGAGGCTGTCTGGAAAGTGATTCACCAGACTCAATTGAAATATCTGTAATTACAGAAAAGCAATGTAGCTCAAAGCGCTGCTTGAGCAGCATTAAGGTACGGAATATGTTAGAGCAAAAGCGCCCATAAACGTATTGATCAGCTACGTTTTTTCTATTTGCCATAAACGCCCACCACTCAGCACTCTGCTAGATTAACTGGCCGGGTTCTGGGCGCTCCGGATAGTGCTTAGGTGCGTAACACCTAGGACAGGGGCGTGAAATGTTTTCTGAATGTTTAATCTGTTCCGGTGTGTGACTTGGCATTTTTAAATGACTTATCAGCAAGTTGAACTAAAGTTCTAGATATACAAGGGCAGGCCGTATAGACAGTTTTGATAATTTCGGCTGCCGCCCTGTGGGCGTACGTTGAATTTTCAGCTGTCTTTTATACAGAGCAGCGTTTAGAAACAAATGGTTAATTCTGACAGTTCTCTTCGGTATGGAAATCAGTGCCGGTCACGGTAGCCGAGCGGTCTAAGGCATGCACTCTCTTCGCTCTCTCGGTAGCCGGGATCGTGGGTTCGAATCACACACAAAGCATGGATGTTTAGTGTGTGTTTGTGCGTCGTACAAATATAGGAGTGGAGGTATAGCTCCACGCACTCTTAAACTCGGTATTAGATGGAGGTGAGTGGTCACTTTCACGCCAGAGCCGCTTTACTCCCGAGATAATTGCCATTGGATCGCACTAGACAGGTGGTGGTGTGTCTCAGAGCCGGTTTGGATCTGTGGATAAGAATTATCTTGCCCCTGCCGGTAAGCGAACTCCTGTTCCTGCATCGTCCTGCCTTGTCTGTGTACCGACTGAAATGGACTGCGACTGAGGAATCGGGGTTTGATTCCCGGCAATGACAAGGGCTTTTCATCTTCTCTATAGCTTCTGGACCAGCTCTGCAGCTCACCCAGCATCATATTCAATGGTTAACTGGGGCAGTTTACCCCGGGGTAAATTCGCTGCAGGTTGAAGCCTGCAACTCACTGCCATCTAGTGCCGAGGTTCACAGCGTAGTGTTTAATTAAGTACAGCGATAATTTTGTCTCTTTTTGTAACAGGCTCAAATACCCACACTCATTCATTCATCCATTCATATTCATGTTGCACCCTCTGGAGCATAAGGCATTCATGAAACTCTGCATTCCTCTTCAGTCCCTCAATCCTATGCACAGACGGTAGGACACCTTGGACAGGGAGTCAGCCCGTCGCAAGGCCGCTACCTACACACAGACTAAACCTAGACAGACATCCATTCCTCGATTGGGATTCGAACCTACAATCCCAGTGTTCTCGCGGGCGAAGACAGTACCACAGGCATTACACCATTTATAATCCTTGACCTCTTAGTCCTGCAGTTGTTACAGCGTCGTTAAAAATAGAGGAAACTGAAATGAACAATATGTGGCACTACATAAGTTTAATTGTTGTACCTGCTGTCGCATTATATAGCACACCTATGGTAGCCTTCACCTCCAGTAACGCTCTGGTACGGTTGCAGAACGATGTTTCTTTGAAGGAAATGTGAAAATCGTGAGATAGGTGGATGAGATTAGCATAGGTGTTCGGGAAATTGGTTGTGAGCGTGGACCCTTCACGCCCTTCCACTGCAGTTCGGCTCTCGAGATATATGTCTACACAAACCTTAAAAACTGCACAGATTTCCGCGAACGTATCGAAGCAGCGCATGTAGAACTTCTGCAGAGACATGAAGCTTTCTGTCTGCTGCGCCCGGCGGACATCTTGTCTGCAAAACAAGATGGAGAGAAACAATGGATAAGAGAAATATCAGAAGAATACAAATGCATCTGAATTAACACTGCAAAGTCAGCATAAATCGAAGACCTTCACAGGCGTAATTATTCCTAATGATTCAAGTTATCCTTCGAACATAAACAGGCTGCCATAAATTACTTAATGAATAGAGTCAATAAGCACTTGTTTCCCCAGGAGGAAAGTCGGGAGAAATCGTAACCATACAGAAATACTAAAAAATAGTTTATATTCACCAGCTATTATAGCAATCAATCCGGAGTTTAAATCAAAATAAAATAAAGGAAGCAAAATCAAACCTGAAACTCATAAGATATCTGGGCCAACTTACTTAAGAGAAGTTCTATGTTCTGACATATAGTGCCGTGTAGACCGACGAAACTTAATCAACGTTTCCAAGGAATATATCGCCATTGTATTCGGGGTCTACGCATTACACAAGCAAGAGAAGAGGCATGAAGCATGTAGAAGGCAGACTTTGCTTGTTTTCTTACTTGGCTTACACTTCTACCTTGAAAAGAGAGGAATTAATCCTTCCGAAAAGTCGGCTTTCACCGGAATTGCACGGTGTCATATTCCTGAAATATAAATCGCCATAGATACCGCTGTGAAAGCCTCAAATCCAACAATTTTCCCTATTTTAGTATAGAATATCGAAAATATAAGGCTTATTCAAAGATACGAAGTTAAACACCTTTAAGGCTATTATTTCTTTAAGAATTAACTTCAAATATAACGCCTTAATTTCTGATTTATTTAGTAATGTTTGCATATACAAAATCTTGTGCCGAAAATATTCTAAAAATATACAAGTCGATCAGGTAACAACTAACTAGACATAATGAACATATCCATGGCGTGATAACAAATAAACAAGCTGAATGTACAGCAGAAACTGGACCCTCATGCGACCCCCTAACAGAAGACTTTCAAATACACCGAGCAGTAAGAGGTGCCTTACATGAAGACCTTAGAGAAATTTCAAACAGAGTGTGCTACATATATCAGTGAGCTAACCATCGGAATTACGTACTTTCCAACATTAATAATCCGTATATGATATCATGGCCCTTGCAGAGAACCACCCAGTCACACTCCGGCTGTACCAATACGTAAATGCCCCCTGTCAAGGACTGTCAGCACGTCAATCCTTGCCTTCAAGGACAATTATTATACTATGTTTCTACCCTTAGCTCTTATATCAGTCCATTCTGTAAAACCTCTCGAACTTGCTACCCTCTTATGAAAATTTCAGGACAGCTTGCAAGGGGACCTATTACACTACGTCAACGCACCGGTCCTTATCTTCTAAGACACGCTGTACTACATCACTAAGTACATTGTATCTTTCGCCTCAATATTAGTCTAAGTGTACAAGCCGCTAAAACTTATTGCCACTTGCATAGCATTCGGAACAACCCCAGATACTTACCGAAGAAAACAACACAATAAAGGCTACTCAAACACGAACACTGATTTGCAACTTACATAGAGCTACAGTTTGGCTTAGAGGCAAAGGGCACGCAAGGGCGTGAAGTGCCAGATTATATAACAAATTCGAACTAGATTGAACTTCTCAAATATCTAATAACTCAAACCACGGCTGTTGTTTTTATTGGAAAAAATTCCCTAAATTTTAATACGAATGTTTATGTAAAATTAAGCCGGTTCCGACATAATTAATTATTTTCTACATATTATTATGCTTTAACAAAATATATACTATATTACATTACAAATATTTTTGACTGCTCTATGTATATCTCATGATGGTGATCGTTTACGGTATAAATATGCAGTGTATAATCGGAAATAAAAATCAGAGCTCTTTAAACATAAGTTTATGTGACGGTTAATCTTGTGACTTAAAAAAGAGGATGAAATCTTATAAAAATCATATTCAAAGGTAAGCCTCCGATTACAAATTACATAATTATTATTTTTAATAGCATAATAGACCATAATTTCACTTCAATTTGTTCTCCCTAGGAAGTAGAAAAACACAAAGACCGAACAAGAACAACACCGAACACCGAACAACGACAACAGTCGTTGGGTACAGGGCTCTCGTGGAGGTGGCTATGAAGATTTATATAATTCCGCGCAGTCCGTTGACTTTCTCCGAACTACACAGCATTATATCCCAGAAAATAGAACTCTTCACTTAAACAGAATCTCAATCAATGTGATCTGGCACTTTAAGAATAAGTTCAAAGCCTGAAAACAAGGAAGGAAACAGCTTCTATTATATAAAGTAGCAATACTGCTAAGTTTGTTTGTGAAAGTGAAATTAAAGCAAAATACTTAAGTAGAATAAAATCGGCAGAGATGAGATATTTAGAAGCAGTAACGGCTGCGCTATTTTGGACCACAGGAAGAATGAAAGCAGCAGGAAAACGCTGCAGTCTTCAATAAAACAGATGGAACCAAACAAAATTGGATTACGTAAGAGAATATCCCAACAGATGCTGCAAACCAAAAGAGAACGAACTCGGCTTATTGCCTGTGCCGAAATCAGCAGGAAGACGTTGCTTTACGTGCAAGAGATATTTTGGAGTAGATCTGTACAGGTTCCTATGGCCGTGCCATAGCTCAGGCGTTTGGTCGCCGGCTTCCCACCGCGGCGGCCTGGTCTGGTCAAATGGGATTTGTGGTGGACAAAGTGGCGCTGGGGCGGGTTTTCTCTGAGTACTTCGGTTTCCCCTGCCAATCTTCATTCCACCAAATTTTCCATCATCTTAATCACCCGGGGCAGGCTACAATAGGCCAATCAGTGGCCGCCGTGCCGAGTGGACCCAGCTAGACTCCACCCCCCCACTAAAGCGAAAAATTCCTTTCATCATCTAACATCTTGTGCTGGTACATAGGCCAAACAGTGGCCGCCGTACCAAGTGGACTCAGTCTTACCCCACAAGAAAGAATAATATCCAGGTTCCATGCAATAAAATGGACCAATGATGCTTGAGAACACATTGCAGATGAGAAGTTTACACCCAGAAGAAATGAAGCAACAAGAGGCTTGAAAAAGTTACGGAGTAATAAGAATCATAAGTTGCATTCTAAGCCACATAACATAAGAGTGATGAAATCAGTGCGGACAACTCGGTAGAGAATGTAGACTGTATGTTGGAGACGTGACATGCGTAAAGTGTAGAGACGTGTAGTTCCGTTCGTGATGTTTCGTTTAACGCGTAGTATAAAAATCAATAAGCTCAAATGGATTTTATATCCTTGTGCAAATGTACAACACTATTGCTAGACAATGTTATGTTAAACGATATTACGTTTCTGTAGAAGGAGGTTATGTTACGGCGCATGCGCCAGGAGAACAATGTTAGCCTTGTTTGTAATATTTACACATTTTTACGGCCGTTACCATGCCTACACAAACAAAACACTGTCTTTCACTGACATGTAAAGCCTGCTACATGTATAAGCCAGGTTATACTGGACGCAAACAATATACAAAACATTCAGACAAGCTAATTATATAAACGATTCTTGATAAACACGAATGATAGAAAAAAAGAATCGTGAAAGAATTTCAGTAACAAAAATAAAACCGGATCTTCCTGTGACACAATGTTACATACATTTATTATTGATCTTGAGCAGACTTAGGCTGTAAATAATGTATGAATAAAACTGCGCATTAACAAGGAACAGTCGTAATTATTCACTCCGACAAGTGTAATAGTTCGGTTGCGAAAAGTAGCACCTAGGTTTGATACATATACCTTCATTCCTATCTGCAATATACCTGGCAGCAGCGGCCATTTTGTCTGCTGTGGAAGAGCAGCATCTCTTCTTGGGATGACAGCAATACATACTTCAATGATGTACGTATGTGAACTCTTGTAAAGCCGCTTCCACATTACTCGTTCTCGTGTGACTCGCTATGCTCGCGAGTAATGTAGACGATATGACAAGTCACGAGACAAGCAAATTTAAAATTTTTAATGTTATATTTTAGCGTCCTGTTGCACTGATTTAAGTCCATGATTTATTTAAACCGTCTTGCAGTGCATACACTCATCTATCTCCTTCTCTCACTCGCACTACATGTTTCGGCACAAAAGTGCCATCTTCAGGTGCTTATTCGATTTACGCTAAACTAGTTCATTGCATGCCTTGTCGTCTTCATATTAAAATAACTAAAATATATATTTATCATATATATTGATAAATGTTAAATGTTAAAAATATTAAAATATTAATCGGCACTTTTGTGCCGAAACATGTAGTGCGAGTGAGAGGAGGAGATAGATGAGTGTATGCACTGGAAGACGGTTGAAATAAATCATGGACTTAAAATTTTTAATTTAAACACTATAGCCAATAAATTAAAATACTACTACAGCCTATACACACTACGAGTAAATATACGGATCCTCACGCGCCGAAGCCTGGCGAGCAACTGAAGTAGTGTGGACGAAGATTTACGGGCACAAGTAAAAGCCAGACGAGTCTCCCAACGAGCCCAAGCCTGGCGAGTAATGTGGACGCGCCTTAAGACCGATGCGATAATTGAACGTCTTTATTTAGTTGTTTTGTTATACCTCCTCAATTTCAGCTTAAAGTGAAGTGTTAACTCCATGGTAGAGGCTCCTCCTTTAGAAGCTAACAGTCACTCACCCATTAAAAATTCCACTTCCTTCAGTTCAACAGGAATGTTCATTGCCGTGTCTACAAAGGCCCGCTAAATCCGAAGTAACTTTTCCTAACATGTTGGTTTTCTGTACGGTTAAATTGTTGTTAATTCCTCCCTCCCACCTCCTTCACGCCAAAACAAGAGGATTATCCCATGTTGGAAATCGGCGTGTTATTATTCAATATTTTCACGTGTGCGAGTGACAAAAGACGGGATTTAGGATTGGATGATTGGATTTATTGATATCTTAAACACACAACTCGGGACTACAGACAAAGAGCGCCATTGCTGATCTGTACACTTCACAGTTCGCCTTTACAGCG